AAATAAATTATATTTTACATATTATGTCATAATAATCCTTTTGCAAAATTATATTGTTTGTCTTTTTTTTGTGTGTAATGTGTTTTATTTCTGAATTGCAGGTCTTCCTGAACCAATTCCCGGAGAACCATTTTGGGAAAATTCGTATTCGGAATCCACATCTGAGTTCGGTTCTGATGTAGAATCTGTAAATAAATCTGAATTAAGTTTCCGGTCTGAAGAAAATGGAAGAAACACCACAACTACACTTGAACCAAAGAATAAATTAAACCATGATTCAGGTTAGTTTCTGACACAAAATAAACAATATAATATAAAATAAAAACATCGTTCCAAAACATCTTATTTTCGATAGCATAATGTTTGTTAGCATAATCTGAAAACAAAGATTGTTTATACTATAGTTAACCTGTAAGGTGTATAACCAGACAGCTCAGTATATTATACAACTTTTAATTTCTCAGGTACATCATTAGTGGGTGGTGAAGAAGATGTCAGAACACACAAAGATGAATCCGATTCAGCTATTATTGCTGATTTACGGCTAGAAGTTCAAGATCTTAACAAGTAAAACATTTTTTGTTTCTTTTTCACACGTTTATAATAAGATTGTTATAAGACACGGGTACGACTCTTAGATACATCTACGTTTGTAACAAGACTCAAGTGAAACACTTTAATAAACTACTTGCTTTGATAAATTAATATACATCTAAGCTTGCCACAAGACTCAAGTCATACAATACTTACTTTGATAAATTAATATATCATTTTTTATATTATAATTATAGGTACATCGATCGTCTACATTCTGACAACGACGATTGCAAGAATAGGATTATGATTCTGCAAGATAGCGTAGAAAGATCTGACGAAGGATTAGACTTCTATAGAAAGCTGTACGAAAGTTCCAAGTATAAAGGAGGGAATGGCGTTGTACAACCTACAAAGAGCGAGAAACGGGTGCGATATCGTTACGGAAAGAGGATACAAGACGACGGTCCATTAGTTGTTGATCCCTTTGTAAAAGCTGTAGTGGATAAACAACTTGAACGCATCACACAACCCAGTCCAGATGATCATAAAGACAGAACCTTGATTAAAGGCAATCTAAACTTGGAAGATGGTGATGAATGTAAAACAGGAGACAGGAAGGAAATAGATAAAGCGATGGACAAGATAAGGGGGTGTAACAGAATGGACAAAGAAGAGGGAGATAATACCATTGGTAAGAATATGATTGATAACAGTAATGATAAAGTCGAAACTCCAAAAATCATGGAGAAAAAGGAAGAAAACACTACATGCGATGCCACTGACATCTATGCAGGATTAAGTATGTATTCATCTTATATGGATGGATATTCAACCTGTAAAATATTGAAACCTGATCCTCTTAAAAGGGAATTAGATGTTTACAAAACCAGGGTTCCCGAAGAAAGAACGGAAATAAAGACCGTATCTGATCTAGTTCAAGAGAACAGAGGGTTTTTAAATGGCAATACATGTACTTCTTTACATGCAGGTCATTCACCCATAGAACGATCGGTTATATCAGCGAGTTCATCCAGTGCTTCAATGATTACCATGGAGAAGGAAACCACTGGAACTGAAAGATCATGTATAAATGAGAAAAGAGGGGCAGTTTTCCAGATTATTGAAAATGGAGGAAACGAAATTAATCAGGGCGAAGATCTCAGACATCATGTTAACCCCACGACTCCGCCTGCCATTGATATTGAAAGAATTTTAGCTGAAATAGAGATGATTGACTACCTGATTGAGAATAGAGAAGAAGATGCGTCATCTTTTCTTAGTAAATATACGATTCGTGACAATTCAAGAACAGAAGAATCATTCTGCTATCAAGATAGTCTCGGGAAATATAAAAAATTGCCTGCTATTGGACGAGTTCCGTATATTCCTTCGTCCGATCTACATACAGAAAAACAAACCACAAAGCCAAGAATGTCTTCTTCAGATCAATCTATAAACAATGATGATGCTTCCAGCAAGAAAAAACCCAAATTCACAAAATCTAACACCATTAATTTACCTAATTTATCAATCACAGAAAAGAAGAACCAGGCCCGAGTAGCCAAGCTGCTGCCAAAAACACACACTACTAATAAAGAAATGCGTTCTGCATGTACCCTGCCAAACATCAAATTGTCGTCTGGAAATATTAATTCCACCCTGCCGGGGATCAAGCTACCATCTGGAAGTATTAACAGTAACTTGCCAAAGATCAAGTCTGGAAATTCAAATTTGCCAAAGATCAAGTCTGGAAATTCTAACTTGCTAAAGATCAAGTCTGAGAACTCTACTTTGCCAAAGATTAAATCCTTCACAGCTGGAGACAACAGTAAAAGAAATAAGATTGTTAACAAAATGAAAATACCTGTTCTACCAAATCTACTGAAATCAGTACCAACATCATCAACAATTAACCAACCAAAGTTACCTTCAATAAAACAAACAAAACGTCCGTATATTGGTAAATACAACAAGTTACCTCCCATATTAGATTTAAACACAGAATTAGATAAACATACAACTTTTAAAGATACATAAACTTATTCTATATTAATGTAAACTTTTAATAAGAAATATTTCTTACATTTAATCATTGTATTGTAAATATTAAGGAATTGCTGTACATATGTGTTACGCTGGTAAACTATAATTATACTGATTTTAAAGAACATAAATATGTATTAATTTTTATATATTATTCATATAAGAGGGCATTTAAAATGAATATAAATGTACTATTTTACTTTGCACTCAAATGTTGTTTTTTGGGGGGCAGTTTTGAATAAACTATTTAGGCCCCAAAGGTATTCCTTTTCATCAATTTTTATAATGCATGTTGTATTATTCTACGTGCAAGGGACATCTAAAGAGGTGGGGGGATGGCCGAATGGTTAGCACGTGCGCTGTATCTTAAGGCCTGTCATTAGGTCAACTGGCGGGGTTTCTGAATATCTGAATCGCCCCCTCTGTCCTTCAACAAATTGGAATGGGCACTTCCCAATCAACATAATACAGCGTTTGATTGAAACCATCAAGTGTATAAGGAGAAGACGTCGAATATTTAAGAAAAAAAAGTCCCTATAAGGCGCCCCCGCCCAATCGTGAACAAACCACATTTAAGTTACAGAGGTAGGTACTGCTACATGCATTATACAGTGGATCAAATCGTACCATTAATAACAGATCACAAAGAATACAATACATCTTTCCAATCATATTATTAAGTACTGGCGCCCATTAAGAGACTGTATTCTGGGCTATACTCCTTCTCATGTATTTCTTACCACTTGATTAGCTGGTAAAGAATATCAATGTGTGCAATTACTCAGATGTTCGACTTGTTTTGTTCCTCGGGACCATGGTGCTCAACAATGTCATTCCCTTCAATAACGGTTACAATAAACAACTTTCAAAAATATTGTTAATTAGCCAGCTATACAAAGACATAATTAAGATAAACATTTACTCACTACCCCTTTAAAGCACCGGGGTCTCGTTTCCCCTTCTCTTTCCCTTTCCACTATTGCATCCAAATGGATCTGAACTCAATTTGTATACTGTATACGCGTATTACTTTGTTAATTAAAATAATCATATTGCTTTTGAAGCACATACAAATATGTATTAACTAAGAATGTTTGTTCACAAACCAGGGCATAAACAATAATTACAAATGCGCTATTTATACTTCAAGCAAAAATGTTGTTTTTTTACATTTTTGAATAAACTGTTTAGGCTACAACGATTTTCCATTTTGCTAGTTTTTATTGTGCATGGTGTATTGTTTAAGTAATAATAAAGGTTTATTCTACACAAGAGGCCAGAGGAAAAATCCGCATACTAAAATCGACATTATTTGTAAAAGAAATAACACTTTCTCTGCATGAAACTGTCGTTATACGCCCAACAGCGGCAAAGTCCACAGTACTTTGCGCATATATAGTGACGGTTTATTTTTCCGTAATGATCATCTGCGTAGAAGAACCCGGGTATTGCTAGAATTACATACTTTTCTAAATTTAACGATTATACATCCAGTAGGATTAGGTAAAATTGTCTTTATACTGATTAAATGTTACCTTTTTGTGACCTAGCCCCATCCAGATGGGTTTGATCAAATTAATTTGAACGAATATGAATAATCACCACCCAAGAGAAACATATCAATCTATAAATTTGTTAGAATAAATCATGGTTTTTTTTTTGTCCAAAATTTTCCCTTTAAGATATCCGTATTCGACCTCTATGGGGCAAGTTATTTTCAGCATATGTAAACAAATACCACCAAGCAACAAGTGTATCAGAAATACCCAGCAGTTTATTATAAGATTAATAAGAGGTCAAAATGTGAGAAATGTCTGAATCGGTCCCTTTACTGTATCGGAATGCGCACCTCACAAGCAACACACCTACGTTTGGTGGATTAGGAGAAGACATCAACAATTTGACAAAAGAACGTATCTTTAATTTTAAGACACCCCAGCTCCAATGGAGTCGATCAACTTTATTTGAACAAACAACACTTGGTTGAAATCCATAGGCATTACAGTGTCCGATTAAACCGTGCCTCCATAACAATACAATACAGCAGACATCTTTTCAATTCAACACCATTAGCTGCATATAGCTTAGTTCGGTGTCGGTATTGTAAGGTATATATCATATTTTAAATCTGAAATGTCACTGTATAGTGAAATAATGTCAAATCAATATCTAATAATTTATTATCTGTAGGCCTACAGATATTTTATTTGATATTAATCTGATTGTTATCCCACTATACAATAAGGATAATGGATAAAAAATAAGTACATTTTATATACATGTACCGATAACAAAACATACGAATGTAGCTCGAAAGAGGCTTCTTGATATGACAGCTAATTTATCGTATGTTTGAAATATTAATTGGTGGTCTGCATCCTATCAGCGGTAAAGTTATCTCCCCTTTCTAGGGTTCTATATTTGAAGTTATAAAAAACCTACAGCTGTAAACACACGTGAACGGCTTATTTTCAATAACTTGAATCAAATATTTCATGTAAGTATTTAGCGAAAACAGCATAGAACACCCCGTGTTGACTACCTAACGGCATGACACAACTGCACTTTTAACCTAGTACCAGCCGTACATTTTTTAGTTTGAGATGGCAAACTACTGTCTGAACCGTCGTAAATTTTAAGGGCCCTCTTATTTCTTCGATTGTGAACAAACTAGTTAACTTTCGTTATTATTAACTTCTCCGTTTGTTTGAAATTACGTCTGGTTAAATAAAATCCATTGTACAACTAAATATCCCAGCGAATAAAAAAGTTCTCTCTTGTAAAATCGAACGCATCGAGAAATACAAAAATGGTAGTTAATTACGTCATCACTTATCACTTTATCAGGATAGATCATTTCATTTCAGGGGGAAGCTACAAATGTCGTAGCGTTAAACTGTTTAACGCTACAATTGAAACAGTCAAAAACTCCTTACACAAGTACAAATAGGTTCAAACGCACAATTGTCAACACATGTCATAAAAGTTTGTATTGACATAAGTAATTTTATCACATGATAAATAGTGAAGACTGATCGAACCACTGACTAAAATAGTTATTAAACCATTTTTCTTTGTGGTAATGCATTCTACATTTTCAAAGCGACATTTCTTTTATTGTAAGCCGCCATGACACCAGCCAGATGAAATCTCGCCAAATTTCGCGTAACAGTTTGGTTTCATCAAATCATATAATTATGCGGTAAGACTTCACCTTTATTTCAATGGGAATTGGTTTAAGCTATGTGCAGTACAGTTTGGGGTGTCGTAACGGTGTTTGGCTCTTTTACAACTATTCAAATTTCCTGAGTTGACTAAATAGCACTTGTCAACCAAGCCTTACGATTACCTGACCAATTGAATGACAGGTTGAATTTGTATTTTTTCTTTAATGTCAGATACTGTAGTACGGCCAATTGAATACTTATAAGTTATACCAAGAGATTATAAAATTATCAAGGTAATCAACAAAGATAGACATGTGGTTTATGCTCACAACCTTACTCAAAACCTTTTTGGTTGAAGTAGTAAGGAAATAAATCGGCAATCGGGACATGAAAATGATGACGGATTTCACAGAATGTCGTAGTATTCAGATGTCGGAAGTGACAGAGTCCACTTTGGTACATTTTTACTGCTGTAGATTCTTGAAATGAACTTGTTTTGTAATCTTTGATAACAAAAAAAACGTTATAGGCCTGTAACTCGTTTTATTTCTAATTAATCTGACCCAGAAAAGGTACTACCCTCACATAGTTTAACAACATAATATACATTAATAGACTAGTCCTTATTGAAATAAAAATTAAACCTTACCGCATGATTCTAGAATTTTAAATTTACGTGGTAAACATGATCATCATAGCCATTTTTCTAACTAAAAAAAATGTCGCTTCGAAAATGTAAATCACTAAATCACATTACAATACCACAAAGAGAAACTGTTTGCCGACTATTTTTATAGTTCATACTTCATTGGTGTTAAAAAGAATTTATTTTAAAACAAATTATGATGATATCTGATGAAAACTATTTTTACATCAAAGAATGTAGCGTTGACCACTTTTCCTAATTTGGAAATATCTTAATCAATATGATAATTATTTCATATGTTGTCTCTTTTCAGTCTTCCATATTTGAAATAAGTTATTTATAAACAGATGCTAAGAAGATCTGTTCAGTTTTTTAAACAGTTAACAAAATTATTCAAGATGTCTGAAACTCTAACTCCAACAGCAACAGACAAGGTACAAATACTAAAAGTTATATTTATAGCACGACTCACACGAAACCAATGCAAGTGCATAGTATTAGTAGTCATGTCTTTGCACGCAGGTGATGAGGTAAAATAATACTATCCATGCTGGTTATTTCATAGAAAACCTACCCTACTTCTCTGTATGATTTCTACTAAACAGATATAAACTAGCAAATGTTAATTTATTCCAAGGTTAAGCACCACCCAAAGTCTAAATGTAGAATCCCAGCAAAAAGTAGGGGTTTCTTTTAGCAATAATAAGAATATGGCTTTCAGTTTAATAAAAACAATTTACCATTAACAAGCAAATAAAGACTGAAAGTATCGGTTATATTCTAACTAAAGGTTCAATAAGTCAGTATGCTTTTATTTAAAAAAAAAAAATGTTTTAGTAAATTATTCAAGTCAATCAATTCTTATATAGTCATTTTAAATTTTCAGCCTTATTACTATGTCTTCATTTTTTTTTTTAATATTTCATATTTTTAATTCAAAATCATTATATTATAGCTTGTAGAGGAGACTGCTCTGAAGAGGCCTTTGAACTTGGGTGAAGAAGAAATTACAAATAGCCAAGAAGTAAAGAAAGTAAAACTAGACGAAGAGGTAAATTGTAGGTATTTGTAACAATCACTGAAATCAATTTCAATGTCAATAACCATTTGATTGATGTCATTATTTTAATGTTATCTGTAGTCGGAGCAGAACACTAGGACGTTAAGCCCCATTTCATTTCATTTCTGTATTAAGTCTAGTATCCTAAGCATGTGACTATACCCCCCCCCCCCAAAAAAAAACAAACAAAAAAACCAACAAAAAACTATGTTCATATTAAATAAATCTGTTTCTGTTTTTAGGCTCCACCCCCTATGCTGGGTAGACCAGACCGACCAAGAAAAGTAGCATTATTATTAGCTTATTGTGGTGCTGGTTACTACGGTATACAAATACAGTTAGTAATTTTACTTCTTTGATATTTTTCTTTGAAAACTGATAAATGTAGAGCAGTATGTGTTAATATTAATATTCAATCAAGCCTGAAATATCAAGACTAGATATTTAATAAATAAAAGAAAATTGGTATAGAATTCACTGGGAATGACGCTGCCCCTGTCATAATGTGGCTCTTCAAGAATAAAAATATGACTTTGCTGTATTATATTTTGTTAATTATTTATCAGGAAAGATTATCCAACAATTGAATCTGAGTTGTTGAGCTCTCTGGTGAAAGGTAATTTTATAACACAAGAACATGCAGATTCACCGCAAAAAGTAAGTTGTCCTGTAAAATAAAATTGATAAAACCCAAGCAAAGGTAGGGGTGGAGGGTACTTTAGTAATTACATTATAATACTTCATTTCTTGCAGGGGGGGTGGATGGCCGAATGGTTAGCACGTGCGTGCTGTATCATAAGACCTGTCATTGGCGTGGTTTCGAATCCCCGGTTGTATGTGACAAGGAGTAGGGTCGCCTGTCCAACCTCGTGGGTTTTCTCCGGGTCCTCCGGTTTCCTCCCACTGCTAAAGACCCCTACGCGCAAGCGAATTATTGAAATAAAATTAAACCATATGTTAGTCCCGCAAATGACCTAGATTGTGTCGAGTGGACGTTAAACCCCATTTCTCTCTCTCTCATTTCTTGCACAATGCCGGGATTTGGTCTAAGTTATGCCTGTAATTGATTTTGTATTGCTAGCAGAATGCCAGTCTCTGTTGTCATTGCAACCTATTGGTACAAAATCGCGATCATTAGCTCTCTGTCAGGTCTATGCAAATCTGGTTGAATTATTACATTGTCATATTACAACTACCAGTAGTATATTCCAGTCAAAACTTATATCATGTGTTTATTAATTTGAGTATCTTGTGTGTAATTAATTGTTACAGATTCAGTTTCAAAGAGCAGCAAGAACAGATAAGGGTGTGTCAGCTCTTGGTAATGTGATATCATTAAAGATAAGTATAACAGCTTATATACCTGGTACCTTCCTATGGGTCATTTCATGTCAAGTGGACCAAATTCTCAGAAAGTTGTCAGGTCAGGTGACCCCATCACAAAGTTATATGACTTAGCATTAATATTGGATGAGATATGACCTTTTAAGTCGGGGTACCCTTTCACAAGTTTAGAAACTACTATTCTACTTGATTATGGTGTACAGATTATATTCCTTCTAGTCAGTCTATATTCTTGAAATTTTGGGGTTTGTAAGAGAATGTAACATAGATTAAGAATTCACTATCAAATTTTACAGAACAAGTACCGTCAACTGTATGATACTTGTGCTAAAAAAATCAATATTTCGATACAGTGTTGAAAATTTACTACACTATATTAGAAGTTGTTACTTATCACATGTATAATGGATCAATGGGTATTTTTTTAACAAACATGATTAAAAGCCATATCTTTATCAGTTTCTTGTAAATTAATCAGCTTTGAAAATCATGAAAAAATATGAAACTATGGGCAAATCATACTTGTACATGCGTCTATCAATGATGAAAGGCCCATCTTTGTAATTTTACTCCTTCATTTTTTATTTTCAATCAATTTGAACAGTAAATTATAATTATTTTTCATTTTTTTGGCAATTTGAACGGATTGATTATAATACTTCAAATTGTCTGATCATCATGAAATAAGACTTTTATTAGAGCGGATATCCGCCTGTGAGATGCACTCTACCATTGAGTTTGCATGTTACAGATGTAACAAGTGACATTCTGCCTGGTCAACAAAGACTAGATAGAGTGTACATAATGTATATGATTTTAAATGATTGCTCTATCGGACTTTTAATTTATTTTACATACCAGTCGATTCTGAAAGTGTAGTGGACAAAATAAACGAGAATTTACCTGAACAGATTAGAGTTATAGGTAAGAATTAAATTGAGTTATTAGCTACTTTAATTATATTATTGAGACTAGTATATGGTTATTTTGATTTGATTTTATACTGTGGCTACACATAGTACACATGAAAGGATGTGGCAAAAATAAAGGGGTGAATCAAAAAGTGTAGTCCCCCCTCCATCCTCCTGAAAAATGTGAAAAATTTAATTATCCCCTCAGTGTTTAAAATAAAAGTATCAAAGGCAATGTTAACAAAACATTTACTAGAAATTTTGATTTTCTTGGGGTTTGGTGAGCATATTCAAAAAAACATTTCTCAGCTGTGCTCATATTGTAGAACAGGTAAGTGTATCTGTATGTAAGTCCATTTGGAGATATTCTAGTTGTGCAACATGGCTGTGTGGATGTGCAACAAAAATTGATACAGAATATCTGTATATAACGGAAAATTAGACATGTTATTAATATCATTGTACTGTAATTAATTTTGGCAGGTTATATCCGAGCTACTCGAGGTTTTAACAGTAAAAATTTCTGCGATTCCAGAACTTACATGTATATGATACCCACCTATGCTTTTGCTGGTGTAGAGAAAGTATGTATTCTTGTACACCCATATTTTAGTGTGGGTGTATTGTTTTGTCATTCTTGGTTGTCGGTCCGACTACAGATATTGTGTGAAGCATTGTGGTCTTGAGAGGACGAACCCTATCCATTTTTAGTATTTGGCGACCTACTGTTTCTGAGTTATTCCCCCCCCCCCCCTTTCCATAATCTACCAATATAGACTACAGTTTTGAATGGGGTTTTTTTTTGTCAAATTTAGTGTGACACACTCGACCCATTTCCACGCCTGACACCTTCCATTCTAGAGCTATATAAACAGATTTGATTTCAGATTTGGTCTAAAGCATTAGGACAAAGCCTATTAATTTTTAGTATTCTGCAGTCTTCCCTTATTCTTGTTGTTTTTTGTGTCTTGTGATGCTCCCATTACCTACAAGAGATTGAATATATGACAACCTTTGTGTTGTTATTCTTGTTGTTTTTAGTGTCTTGCGAATGCTCCCATTACCTGCAAAAGATTGCATGTATGACGACCTTTGTATTGTTATTCTTGATGAGTTTTTAGTATCTTGTGAATGCAATCTATCTCTTTAGGAACTGATGGTTCATTTATGAAAAATTATTTGTTATTAAAATTTCTATTTTTAATTCATAAACAGCTTGAATTTGAAACTTTCATATTCATAGTGTTTGTATAGTTATTATTTGATTTTTTTCAGATGGTGTCAGATGAATATAGAATAGATGGTAATACATTTTTTATCTTAAAATTATTTGTTAATTATCAAAATATTTATTTGAATTCATTTTAATAGCCTAAATATGTAATTACTTTTTTGCGTCCATGTGTCCAGCATAAACTGTTTACATTGTTTACTTCTTCTTTAGAAGTGAAAGGGCAAATAGGACCTTTATACATCTTCTTTATTGGAGAAAAGATAAATGTCCCTAATCTCATCTTATCATCCTTTAGATTATGCAAGTGTTAAAATAATTTGAATCCAAATTAACATCATTGTTTAATGTTAAACTTTCTTTGATTTTTTTATATTTTTTATAATTAATAAAAAAATTTTTGTCTTATTAGATGAATCTTTGCAGACATTACAATCTGTTTTAAACAAGTTTAAAGGAACACATAACTTTCATAATTTTACATCAGGAATGTAAGTAAAATATACAACCAATTTAAGTGGGGTTTTTCGGCCATCCTTTGTGGATCCAAAACAATGTCAGCATACATTTAGTGCTAAATATCAATACACTAGAACACAGGGCTATTGGGTTTGCCTTTACAGTTATATGCCATGTTTAAATTACCCCAAGTTTATGTTTTATTATGATTGATAACAGAAAAAAAAGCTGATCGTTTGGCATGTACAAGCTCAATGTTGTTGTATTTCACGGGGAAATTTGATTATTGGAATCGACTTATAAATTATTATCATTACTTATCATTGATGTTGATGTACTTTCTTTTTATAATATGCTGTGTATAACTATTATTGTGTATTTATTGCTTACATTTTTGTGATGTGTTGGTGATGTTTTTCTTTTTTTTTTTCTTTTTTTTTTAGAAAACCCACCGAGTCTTGTGCCAAAAGATATATAATAAGTTTTGAGGTAATTTTCATCTTTCTTGTGTAAATTTAGGAAAACGCACATTTCTTCAGCGTTCATAAAACCTTGAAAAGTACTTAAAATTTAGCTCCCGTCCGGGAAAGACCTTGAATTTAATCACATCACTAAAATAGGATAATTAGTTAATTGTTTACATATAATCAGGAAATAAAATGTTGGCTATTTTTTAAACCTTGGCTGTATGTAAAAATATGAAACAATATTAACATATTAAGATTTTAGGCAGGTAAACCAGTAGTTGAAGATGGTACAGAATTTATTACATTAGTTGTTAAAGGGCAAAGTTTTATGTTACATCATATAAGGAAAATGGTTGGTAAGTGAAAATACTTCATTGGTTTTTTTTGGGGGGGGGGGGGGTTTATTACCAGTGTGTATATTACAAGTGAAAATTTGCCAAGGTAGAAGCCATGTTTTCTCTGATATAAATTTTTAGCATTAATTGACTAATACCGGTAACATTAATTTACAATATTTACACTGTTACATTTGAATGACTAGTAATATATATTGATAATATCTACTGTGTTAATTTGAATGACTAGTTACATGTTTTGACAATATTTACACTGTTACATTTGAATGACAAGTTACACATATTGACAATATATACACTGTTTGACTCGTAACATGTATTGACAATATTTACACTGTTACATTTGAATGATTATCAATGCATAATATTTATATGGAAAATATTTACACTTGTACATTTTAATGACTATTTACATGTTTTGACAATTTTTAAACCTTTACGTTTGAATGACTAGTAGTTTTATTCCTTCTCAGCTCTTCTACTTCATAATATTTGGGATTAAATAAGTTACTAGATATATGAATTTAGAATATTATAAGGAGTTTAATATTTTAAATCCAGTCATTTTACTTACATTATTATATTTTTATTTTTAAACAGCTTTAACTGTATCTATATTAAGAGGTATGTGTGGTATAGAGACAGTAGATAAAGCATGGTTACATGATAAGGTAAACATAATTGATTTAGCTTTGATCTGTATAAATTATGGTATCTGGAGGTTTCTATAGGATAAAATGTCAGTATAGCTAAAACCTGTTTGATTTAAGTCCAAATAGAGTGTTATATTGGGCTTATTTCGATTAGTGATGGGACGACATGATCATTTTGAAATATTAATCAGCTTATTCAAACAGTCTGAACTGAATTGGGGTTTAACATCCTACTTTTTTGCTCCATCCGGGCTAATGAAGACTGACTTGCAGATACCATTATTAATGGGTTGCCAGGCAACAAAACATACACCCACAACAGCTAAGTCGTCCGGGCAGTCAACAAATCTTGTCGCATATTTTTTTTTCTTTTGTCGGTAATGAAACATTTACATTACACTAAAATCTGATTAGGGTAACAACTCATTAAGTAATTATCGGAAATGGGTAGAATTTGTTTGCCTTCTAGTTCTGTCCCATTCTAACCTTTAGTATACAAGAAATTTAATATCGTGGATTTAGCTACTTGTTCATCTCAAGCCCTTTAAGTCAACCGAATAACTTTATTTTTTCGAAATAATCAAGGGCTATAACTCTGACAGTAATTACCATAAATCCTTGAAAATCAACAGAAGTCTTCATCTCATGACCTTAAACACAGACTAGTATAAATTTAAAATCGATCAAATGATAACTTTGGCCTCTAAAGCATCCACAAGATTTTTCAAAGTGATCAAGGGCCATAACTCTGGCAGTAATTTTTTCAAAATCCTTGAAAATCAATAGGATTCTTCCTCTCATATTCTTACACACTGTGTATAAATTTAAAGTCAATCATTTGATATTAACTTTAGCCTCTAGAGTGTCCACAAGATTTTTTTAAAGTGATCAAAGCCCACAACTCTAGCAGTAATTATTGGAAATCCTAGAAAATCAATAGCATTCTTTGTTTCATGACCTTAAACACTGGGAATCAATTTAAAGTCAATCGGATATTAACTTCAGTCTCTATAGGGTCCATGACGGATGGGGACAACAACAATATACATCCACATTTCAATGTGGGTCCATATAAAGCATAGTCGTCTAAAAATGATTAAATTTTGGTTTTAATTGTTTAATTACTATCTAAAAAAAAAAAGAATTTTCAGTCCTTATTTTATTAATAAGGAAAATGAATATTGACCTTATGACCATTGCGGCTTCAGGTTTTTAAAAATATATAAATAATTTGATATTGTCTTCTTTTTTAACAGATGGATGTTCCTAAAGCTCCAAGTGAAGGACTCTTTTTATATCAGGTACTACCACCCAAATATATAACTTTATTTACTTTTAAAATGAGGCTGATTGCAAGATACAGTTAAAGGGTTAATACTTTATGATGTGTAATTTTCAAACCTGATTACCACCTGCTAGTGAGGGGATAATAAAGATGAAAATTGGAGGTTCCCCTTAACAGTTGAATTATAAAAGGAAATAATTAAACACCACTGTCCAGGCAAAATTCTCCTCTTGCATATGTATTTAGCTGTAGAAGTAGATAAAAGGTTACCATATGTTAAGTCTCAAAGTGACCAAAGTATTGTGTTGTATTTCAATATTTTATGGTTAAGTCATGATGTGTTTGAAATATTTAAGCTCTGACAGTTCTGGACTGTGGACTGCAGATTGTATTTCAGACATATTAACATTGTGTGGGTTATGATAAACATGCTAACTGGTATTCTAGAAGAGTTTCAGACAATTACATTGTTATTATTATTTCAGACACATTATGATGGTTATAATAAAAGATATGGTGCTGATGGAATACATGATCCTATAGATTGGTCAAATTATAAAGTATGCTAATTCATCATCAGTTTTAATCAACAATAAAACAACAATAATATCATCCCAATATAAATGATACGTTGTTGGATAGAGTTAATATAATTCCAGTTTCAAACATCTTTCTGGTTTCATTCATCATTGTCAGTAAAGGTACTAATATGTAAGTTGTTAAACTATAAATTGTAATTATTATATAATTAGATAAGATGTATTTTAACGTGTTCATTATCTTTTAGGTTGAATTAGATGAATTTCAGAAGAAATATATAACATCACATATTGTTAAATCAGAGAAAACAGATAGAATGTATCTTTTATTGATAAAACAATTGTTGCCACAAAGTGACAACTCTAGTAGTTTGGAGACTCAGTGCGTGGGGGGTGGGGGGGTTCCATCAAATTGGCACAAAACCAGACCCAACTTTTCTAGAGTAAAATTTTGCGTAGAATACGATGCCGAGTGGTAATCAGTCCGCCGTTGGGGCGTTTTCGAGATATTCGGGGTCAAAGGTCAAATGAGGTCATTACCACTGAATAGGGACAGATGTGACTATCCTTTGTTACGGCATCGAAAAGCGTACTGTGACACTATCCTGTCTGCGGTCTCCAGAAAATGGCCAGTGACACTATTCTTCGTCACAGTAGAACTTTCATGCTGCATATAATGATCAATTGATTAACTCTGGAACCCTTTGTTAGTTTAACTACATGTATGTTTTTATATGCCCACATTGAAATGTGGTCGTGTATTGTCGTCGCCCCCGTCCGTCCGGCGTCCACAATTGCAATTGCTTGTGGACGCTCTAGAGGCTAAAGTTAATATCCGATTGACTTTAAATTTATATACAGTGTTTAAGGCCATGAAACGAAGAAGCCTATTGATTTTCAGCGATTTCCGATAATTACTGCCAGAGTTATTGGCCTTGATCACTTCAAAAAAATCTTGTGGACGCTCTAGAGGCTAAAGTTAATATCCGATTGACTTTAAATTTATACACAGTGTTTGAGTTCATGAAGCAAAGAAGCCTATTGATTTTCAGGGATTTCCGATAATTACTGTCACAGTTATGGCCCTTGATCACTTTGAAAAATCTTGTGACGCTCTAGAGGCTAAAGTTATCATCCGATTGACTTCAGATTGATACACAGAGTTTAAGAGCTGGAGACGAACAAGTATATTGATTTTCAATGAATTTTTATGACTTGAACAGCTAAATCCATGATATTAAAAACCAAAGAAATTCTAATGGTTTTCTGATAATTACTTCATGAGTGTATTATAAATGTTTCATTACCGAAAGAAGTAAAAATATGCGACAACACTTGTTGACTGCCCGGACGATTTAGCTGCTGTGGGCATATGTTTAGTTGCCTGGCAACCTATCTTTATATCTTTTTAACCTTGCTCTTTCTCATATAGAAAGTATAGATGCATCAGCTATTAGGGTGGGACACTAACCATTTTTGGGTAACGTTTCGTATGGGCAGTATTTTAGGTCAACATTATTCTATTTAATTGGACTAATCTGTGCACTTTCAGCAATTGATGGTGACAGGAACTGTGTTAGTTAGTCTAAGAAAGTTGAATCTTGCAATACACCTACTTAGCCCATTTCTCATTTCACCCATTAGTTTAACCACTTCAATATATTAAACAGGGCATCTTACATAGAATTGAAATAACCCCTATAGTATTACAAGGTGACCCTAGACCACTCAACCACTTAGGTTCTTGACAGTCCTGGTAACTGGGTATTTATATAATTTCTGGGAGCCCCAGTGTTAGTCAAGACTTTCATCAAGATCTTCCAGTCTGGTTTCCCTTAAGTCAGTGGTGCAGGATGGAGGATCTGGCAAGTGTCTAGTTTTTACTACCAGATTTATGGCCCTTGAACACTTGAAAAATCTAGTGGACGCTCTAGAGGCTCATTGTTTAAGGTCATGAGACAAACAATCGAAACAAATTCTAATGTTTTCTGATAATTACTTCATGGGTTATTACTCGTAATTAGATTTTCATGTGTTGTAAATGTTCTCATTACTGACAAAAGAAAAAATATGCGACGACACTTGTTGACTGCCCGGACGACTTAGCTGCTGTGAGCGTATGTTTTTTTGCCTTGCAACCTATCTTATAGTTTCTTTAACTACTGTATATAGAGTATTAAATTGGTTAAAGGTTCTACATTTACATAAGTTTGATATGAGAGAAGATCAAGAACATAAAAGAACAACTAAACAAATGTATGATATAATCAAGGTGAGAAAATACTTTCAAATGTTTTGTTGGATGAAACTGTGCCGCGAAATTAACGTATATTAATGTTTAAATCAACATGACTGGCTCTAATTGCACCCTGATTTACTATTTCTTGCTTTAAAATATCATGCAAAATGAAAAAAGAAAGAGTGCCCCCCCCCCCCTTTTTCTGCCAAAATTTGCCAAGTTTATGTCATATTTGGTTAAATTGATTGATTGTAAAATTTGAAACATTCCAAGAACAATCATTGGAAAATTTGTTAAATCAAATCATATTGAAACTAATTTTATTTGACTTGTTTTTGAACCCCAGTTAAATTTTTAAACAAAGCTAAAACTTGTTTAATTTTGATTCAACAAATATTAATTAAAAATGTAGAATATTTAATCGTCAAGAGACACAAATGAATAGTTATGATGATATAAATACTATGTCCTCTCTAAAGGGAGAAGAAATAAAGCAGTTAAACCCCTGTTTATATCTGAGATAGGATGATTTACATAGTATTATAATTTATTTTTTTAAAAAAAACAGGCAGCATCAGCTTCATGTAAATCAGATAATTCATCAAACAATACGAACCAAACAACAGATGTGGAAACAACAACTCCAGTTTCTTCTAAAGATTGCTCTAAACAAACTGAAACTGTAGAGAATATTGTATCCAGTAGTTCTTTAGACATGGAAAATATAAACCCAACAAAAGATACACAAATTACTGCAGCAGATTCATCTCATGACAATACTAATGTAGAAATAGTAAACAATAATAGTTTGATAGATGCATCAGTAACTATGACAACACTAAAAACAGAAGAATCAAAATCCTGATTCCTAATCATAGAGTGGAGTGGGGATAAATAACAACTAGAAAACCAAATACAAAGGAAACCATCAAGTCTAAATATGGAGATGATAATTAATCTATCATGGCTTATCAAAGTTTCTTCAACATGATGCCATGTGTATTTATAGGGATATGATGACTTTTTCCTTGGCCTGTCAATATTTGTAGCATTGCAAACCCAATGGGAAAAAGAGTCAGTTTTCTGACAAATATTTTAACAGGAATTTAAGGGAGATCTAAATAGATTCACATATTTTTAAAATTTGGCTTCTGCATGTACATAGCGATCTAATAACTGAAAGTGTTATAATAGCACAAGGATAATGGTGTTACAATTTCAAAAGATCCAGAATAATGATAGGGCACACTTGTATATAAATGCATTTTTATTGGCGACTCCTGGGCCGATTTACTTTATTTAAATTTTAAAATTCATTACAGATTGTATACAATCTGATTTTAGTAAAATAATTTTAAAGAAGTACACTAAATAATTAGTGTATAGTGTACGGTTCAAAAAGATGAAATCAAAGAAATAAAGACCATCTGGTCTCTCTAACTATTGACTAAAATTAAATCTCTGTGACTAAAATAGAATGCTGTATCTGGAATATGTATTTGCATTAAGGAAGATCTGGTATTGCAATTGGATTATTTTATACAGTATAAGTCTAATGTAAAGTCTAGCAATGAATGTACATCAATATTATTGGTCATCTGGATCAGAATTAATTGATGTACTTGTAAATAGCTGTGGATAAATCATGTACTGAAGTAAATTTATCTTTTATTTGGACAGGCTTTAATGAAGAGACTCTCTTATATAATAAAGATGGCAATCTGATACTAAGACTAATTTTATCAGTTTGAAATTTTATATCTAGAAAAACATAGAAATGGCTATGTATGATAACTTGGGGGTTTTGACAGTAAAATTTCAAAAACCTAAGCCAATGAAAGATTTATTGAGACATTTCTTATAATAAAATCAACTATAAACTAAATTTGTTTTATCATTATTTACACATCAAACAGATGAAATGGGGTTTAATGTCCTACTGTGATTGGGGGGTCGGATGGCTGAATGGTTAGCGTGCGCGCGCTGTATCATAAAGTCTGTCATTGAGTCGACTGGCGTGGTTTCGAATCCCCGGTTGTACGTGGCAAGGAGTAGGGTCGCCTGTCCAACCTCGTGGGTTTTCTCCGGGTCCTCTGGTTTCCTCCCACTGCTAAAGACCCCTACGCGCAAGCGAATTATGTAAATAAAATTAAAACCATATGTTAGTCCCGAAATGACCTAGTTTGTGTCGAGTGGACGTTAAACCCCATTTCTCTCTCTATCCCACATAAATCGTGTTATGTTTGGTTTCAGTCTTAGTAAATATCACCTGAAGAATGCAACAATGTTTGTGTTTTATTCATTTAACATTAAAAACATTAGAGTTGGATAGGGGGCACTAAAACCACCCCACTCAACCCCGTCCCTTTCCATAGTCCTAGGTGTGTATTAAAGAATTCTTCCGGCTAAGCTTATGTTGTAACACAGTCCTACACACAAACCAGGTTAATAAGCCTGTCAGAAATTCTAATGTGAATAGGGGCAAATTTAATAATATTGCCATAGAAAATGTTCTTCCAATTTAATATGAAGACAGCAAAGCCTATTCCCCGGGAGTCCATGTGCATCAATCAGTGTCTGGTTAGTCCCGATTATGGTAATATTTTGAAACAAATTTACACATTATATTGCTGCCATCATTGAAAAGCAGGTATTGAGATTTGCCCAGTTTTTAGGGCACAAGATTTAAGAGAAAAGTGGGGTTTAACGCCCACTCGACACAAACTAGGTCATTTTGGGACTAACATATGCATCAATTTTATTTCAATAATTTGCTTGTGCGTATGGGTATTTAGCAGTGGGAGGGAACAGGAGAAAACCCACTCCTACAACCGGGAGATCAAAACACGGCAGTGGACTCAATGTCAGACCTTATGATACAATGTGCACAGGCTAACCATTCGGTCATTCAATATTACCTGCAACAGTTAAATTTCAACATTAGTAATTTCCGCCGTTCTCCGTGGGTAGTCTGAACTTTCTGTCAATAAGCAATCCGTGACGTCATTTTAGTCCTTCTGCACATAGAAATATAGACTAGAATATAAGCATAAGGACTAACATGACGTTTATTTACGGAAAGTTACGACTACCCACGAAGAATGGCGGAAATTACTAATGTTGAAATTTACCTGTTGCTTGTAATATTGACATTTAGGTTCGTGTTATACTTATGGAAAGGATATGTTGACATAATTACTTGCATTATTTAAAAAACTTATGAACCTTTTCCGGTGACCTTTAATCCCAAGCAATTTTGGCAATCAGATATGGTAAAATAGGGCTATTACTTTTCATTTTAACTTAAATCCACAATTCAAGTTTTTTTCGGGGTAAAATCGATTTTCAATTATTTTCCATGTTATCGGTTAGTTTTCCAAAAGGACTACCCCTTTTCAAGCCAGAGATAAATTAAGTTCATGTGTATAACATATATAGACATTGATAAAATTCTTTGCTCATGCAGCATGTGACCAGATAAAACATTTAGAGAAAATTTCATCATTTTTATTCATAAAATTATTGTGGAAGATCCAGTCCGATCATAGTCTGTATACTATAACACAAAGTGAAGTCTACTCTCTACCATCTAAACTAAGGCCATAATCAGAGAAACTTTTTATTTGATAAAAAAAAAAGGTGTCCACGCAATCACTTTATGGCTAACATGAATGAAATAGGAAAAAAATAAAATAAATCGCACTATAAGAAACCAGTTAAAGCACACTGAACAGGATTGATGTAAAAGTTTGTTAAAGAAAAGGCCACAAATTATTTATAGCACAAAATTTTGTAGTAGATTCATAAATTTATAACTGGACGATGAGTTTTATAAGAGACTTGATCACCCATTCCTTTATTTTACGTCAACCCTGTCAGTTTAATAATGAACTTTTTTATATGTATGATAGTATGAAGAAGCTTACACAATACAAATATGCATAGACCAAATTAAATTTACAAATAAGTCCAAAAGAAAATTAACAATAATGCCTTGTAAACATCTCGCTATACACTTTTTACACATGATTATGATACTTACAATGGAGTTATAAACTGATGTGCCACAAAAAAAAACATTGATATATATATATACATACAATAGCTGACAGATAAAGAGTTAACTTGATTTTGAAGTGCTGCTTGTGCAAGTTGATCAGACTGCTTTATTTATGCGCACAGGTAACATATCAGAATCAAGTTCACCCCTTTTTTTTTGAAAAAAAAAAGACAATGTATTGTCCTCTACTGCTGAAAAATTACAATTTTTATAAGAATCAACATATGATTCAGTCCTAATTTACAATGTAAGACAATTAAAAAAAATTGTAGAATTAACAATAGATGACTGATGTTTGAGGCGTAACAAAATACTGTTTGAAATTACACATGATTACATTGAAAAAAAAAAAAAGAAAAGAAAATATTATCCAACACAAAGAGCTATATATCCTTTAAAAAGTATGCAACTCACAACATAGGTTTATTAGTATATGGAAGATACACAATTCTCTTTACTTATTCAAAACAAATTTGCAAATTCTGGGAGTTTACATTTCCATGTCTTGAAATATCCGATTCAGGCAAGAATTGGATGTACCGGTACTATGACCATGTTCTGTTAACTGACAATCCAACCATAAATAAAGTAGGACTTGGTAAAAGCATTGTATATAATTAGCATATTGATACAGAAACATGAACAAGACAGTTTATAAAAATATTCAACAGAATTCTCTTTGGTTTTGCTATTTAATTTTCATTAATCAAGCACTTACATAGAATATTAGGAGGTGGGATTAGTTATAACCACAAATATTTCTTGTATTTGACAAATGAATGAGTTGACATGATCAGTTTGATACGATATTTAATGTATTAAAATGATTATGGCATTACTTCTTTTTTTTTTTTTAAGACATGGATATAAATTTGATAATTCCAATGAAATGATAGTAATAACAAGTACAAAGGCGTGATAACAGTATATAGTAACCATGCATTATAATATATTATACATATATACGAATCCTTAATAAAACAAGTTTCACTGGCATATTACAAGACATATCCCTACAGAAATGTTTCAAGTAGAGTAAATGCAATAGAGAATTCAGATATATGAAAAGTTAATATAAATGAGTTTATGTTACATCACTTACAGACCTGACCACAAAAATATTTAGATTCTTCTGAAAATAGTTTTTGTTGCAAATCATTGAACAGCTGTAGCATTATATCTCCCAGCACTTTTCGATCTTCAAAAACCAAAGTTGCTAGGCAATGAAATATATCCCGCAGCAGCTAAGTCATCTGAGCAGCCCATAGAAATAGTGGAACTCGGAGGATAATTCAGCTCCTAAAGTGCTGACCTGATTTTCAGCTTGATCAAGGGTAATAATTGTAAGTAATCATTAATGAAAATTAGTAGGCTTTCGTCCCATGAAGATAAACATCATATCATGACTTTTAAATTTATAGGATAACTTTAAGCCACTCAAGTGTTCACAAGATTTTTCAAAGTGATCAAGGGCTCTAAATATTAACCACTTATTGGAAAATAGTTGAAAATCAAGAGACTACTTCACATCCTTGACATAAACTATGTGTATAAATTTCAATCATAACATTACCCTCCAGAGCAGACCAACAGACAGTGGTGATGACAATATACAACAACATTTCAATGTGGGCATATAAAAAGAATTGGATATAAGAAATCCTCATGCAGTAATTTTTTTCAAAAGAAAATGGACATACACTTATATGTATACGACAATTTACGATGATCGGAAACGTTGCATCCACCGTTCCTCTCTTTGGAGGGAATATAGTTCTCCTTCTCTGTACTGTCTCTTCGTTCTGGGGGGCATTCATACTAAAAATAGTTCACTCAATCATTCATAACTTTATACAAGGAAATTATTGACTGCCATGAATTTCCTTTCAATTCCTTCGATCTCGTTTAATAGGTGCAACTAACCATCTTACATTAAATTTTATGCAAAGATGTGAGCTAATTTATTTAGTTTATGAATACCACAATTACTGAACTTGTAGCCTCCATAGTAATTAGCACATGTACCTTCACTGTATTTTATTGTATTTTTATGTTATTTTATCTCACTTTCCATGCTCTTCCATAATTTCATTATCATATCTATGACATCACGTTACTGAATAACACCAAACTAGGAAATTAATGGACTTCCGAGCTCTCGGCTTTGGGCATATGATTACCGGAATCGGCCAGGGTGCTATGAGCTGTAGTATGAGGTGTACTGTGAGAAACAGCTGGATGTTGTTCCACAGTAGTAGAATGAACACCCATAGCCGCTGCCGCTGCTGGATTAAAAGCTCCGTAACCAGCCCCGTTCATACTGTCTGGAAATGGTGCCTGCGGGAAAGGAAACCTCACTCCACCGGCGGCTAAAAAGGGAAAAAGATTCAAATTTAAAGACACATCAAAAATTAACAAAGCTTCAGAATTATTTTAATATAAGCAGATGCAGACTGCTAGTTCTAAATTAAGTCATATTAAAAACTGTCGGTATCAGGCACATACGAACACATTCAATTTCTAAAAATACATGTTCCCTGTTGAGACAAATTAAATACATCTTGAGGACGGTACCATAGATATACTTTGTGCTGTGAATGTAGCAGTTGCTCAATCAAATTTGTCAGATATAACTCACTCTTACATTTGATGCATTAAACTATCTCCACAAACCTAGGTATTCACAGGGTTAAAGTGTTGTTTTTGGATTGGAAATAGCATCAATCAATTGTTTACTGAATGCTACAGTTACCGAATTGTTGTATCTGCTTTGTTTAATACAAACCTGATTTATGGATGTAATGGGGTTTTTTTTAAAAGAAAGGTTCATATACTTACTTTGTGTAAAATACTCTTTATTAACACAGTTACGTAGATTTTCAGGTATACGTCCTAATATAGCTCTCCTGATTTCACCGGCTGCCATTTCTCTTAGTTCTGTTACACTTTGCTCACTATAAAACGCTGAATGAGGTGTACAGATCATGTTCGGACAATCTTTCAATGGACCTGCAGATAAATCCATTACATGGCATATCATACATGTACATCACAATTTAATAATAAAATCGAACAATTACTTTAAAAAAATTAAATAGTTAAGTATTTACCGATAAAAATCAATGTCTTCATTGAAAAAAATTGTTACATACTACATACATAAACTAAAAAAAGAAAAAATTATTCATCTAAGAAAAAAATTATTCATCTAAGAAAAAATTATTCATCTTTAAAAAAGATATATCATTTAATAGTAATAAAATAGATATTATATAAACACAATAATGGAGTTAAAGGGACACCAGAAGTCCCCATTTTATTTTTCTTCCAATTTTTATTTAAAGCATATTTAAAAATTAAATACACAAAAGTCCATAGAGGAGTCGATAAAATTTCTTTTATTTAGTTATGTTTTGATATATTATTAGTTAAAAATATTGAAACACATAATCTATTGCTAATTTGGGTGTCCAATGTTTAATAATTTTAACAATGTAAAAGAACAGTAAAAACAGTAAAATGTAAAGCAGAGAAAAATAGGTCTCTTTTATATCACAAAAAGCGAGAGTTAAAAAAGGAAATTAAGAAAATTCTGAAGAAAAAAAAGACTGGGGGCTCTCTCTAGTATCCCTTTTCCACTATAAAGCGAAGACCCAAAGGTTTCACCTAATAGTACAACATATCACCTTCAATGTACGGTAGGTTCAAGTTGCACGTACTTGATGCAAGATTAAACGGTTCATTCTCTAAAACATCTAATGCACAAGCTCTAATACGTCCATCTTTCAATGCCGCTGCCAATGCATGTTCATCAACTAGACCACCTCTTGCAGTGTTGATTAAAAATGCACCTGAAAATGAAAAAGACAAGTTTTAGGTATATGTTTCATTAACGACTAAACCATCGAAAAATGAAATAGGGTTTACCATCCTACTTTTCTGAACTGACTTGGCTAATGAAAACGGACATACTCCACGCAGTGTGCTATGAGGGAAATTTTGCATAGACAGCGGGGCTATGGCCTGCTCTTATTATAAATTTAAAGAATTCTTTTACATGCATACCATTGTGTTTTTTGCCCGATCCAAATGACTCGACACTGTTCCTTGTCAAATCCTCCTCCACTGACATGGTTAAACCAAGTCAGAAAATCCTGAGGAATTTTCTCAGCCAACACCGGGGTGAACTTGAGACCTGAGTGCCTTACTGACTGAGCCACAGCAACTCCCTAACATTGATAAGCAAAATATTATAACAAGGACTAACACAATCTATTTGGCAGTTATCTGGATAAATAAGGCTTTATATCAGGTGAAGTTGACTTTATAAGACACCCATATTCTATAAGCGTCATGTTAAGAGAAAAATTGACAGATTATCAACAGAAAATATTTTGTCTTCACACTTATAAACAATCTTTATAAATCCACTAATTACAATCTAATCTAACATTTTTACAGGGTCAAAGACAGGGTGTGGTTAGCAGAACATCGGGGCTTGTGTCAGGAGGCCCGACAGGGAATATACACACCCTAGTATAAACTCAACTGGATAGTTCCAGTAATAAATGCATGTTCTGGTGATTATACTGTAGTCAGATTATGAATACAACATATCACATGCAGTACGTGAGGATATTATTGTATCAAAGCTACAGGTTAATTCCTCCCCAGGTCATTTAAACTATATTTAAGATAAAAGAAGATAGAAATGTTACCTGGCCTCATCTGTTTGATTGTGTAGTCATTAATTAGATGATGATTATGTTCATTAAGTTTACAATGTAATGAAACACAATCACTCTGAAACAATAGTTCCTGTAATGTGTAAACACGTGTAATACCTGAAAATATAACAACACGTTTAAATATACTTGTCTTGAAAACACAATATTGTGATTATTTCCACATGATATAATGTGTTTCCTATAGTTGAATAGAATGTGCAATATTTTGCAGTTACAGTTTAAAATTTTAACTATAAATATGTACAGGAGGTGACATTATGAATAAAATTACTTGAGCTAAATTTCAAGTTTCTACATGTGTATATTATAGTAATGTTACGTTTTCTAATTCTAAGTGTAACTTTGTAAATGCTGCCAACATATGATTATTGGTACTAAATTCACCTTCTCTAACACTTATTGTACATTTAGAATTAATAGTAATATGAATTGTAGTACTAAAATTTTAATTTATGTTCTTGTGTGTAACGAATTTAGGAAATTTTATCTAGGCGAATACTGGTGATAATTTGGTGATAAGACATACATTTGTACATGTAAAGATTCTAATGAAAGGTTACAATACCCTTATATCTACATTTTGTTATTATTAGCGGACAAGCGGTTAATTTGGTGATAAGACATACATTTGTACATGTAAAGATTCTAATGAAAGGTTACATGTAAAGATTCTAATGAAAGGTTACAATACCCTTATATCTACATGTATCTGAGTATTTTTTTCACTTATAGCCAATGACATAAATGATCTATGGACATGCATTTCATCACTTCTATATACTGGCATTGTCAGATTACACGTATACCGGCAAAGACTAAATAAATTATTGTCATGTTTTCTATACCTTAAAACCCTTTGTTGTATTTCACCTAATATTATTTATAATCCATTGTCATGGTAATCTATTATCCTACAATATGTATACAAACTGTATGGCTGATGTATATTTATAAATTTACATTTATAACAGTTGAAGAAGCTTGAGAAAGCTGACCGCTACATGTAGCTTATGGTTTGATGTATAATAAAGAAGTAAAAGTGGTTGATTTTTTATTTATCTATCTATGTATTTATCTACCGTAACTATACTACCTGTACTTCATCTACTTTAATATACATTGATATATACATATAGCAATAAGAAATGAAATGGGGTTTAACGTCCTACTGTTCTGCTCCGAACTGGGATAATGAAGACGGGCATATGCCATACAGTGTACAGGTTCTTCAGCAATATATATTACAAAACAAGTTGTTATATCAATATTTTCATTCTTCTTTCACTTTGTATTCAAACAGATTTTTTAATGCATCTTATTCATGTAATTAATCCAATCAAATTGTAACTAACTCATAACCTTTTGTATTACACTGGTGACTTCACACCTCTATTTGCTGTTCGACAATTTTTAGTCTGGTACTTTTGAATCACTCCCAGACAGTCTACATGTATTTCCTTAATTATTGGCTGTACACTATTTTTAGTCACAATACACTGCCCAAGTACAAACAATAACTAGATATAATTTCCAAAAAATTTAATTTTTACCCAGTATTTGATCCCAACATGAGTTTACCCAGTATTTGATCCCGGCAGGTTCGGTACTACTTTCACGAAATTCGAACTGACATTATGGTGTAACGGTGATATATTCAAACATTGTTTTAAATGGGATCAAAATTGTGACCGCAGTGGGACCACAAGCTAAAACTTGATTTTTCATACAATCAGGGGCCATAATTCAAGAAGATACGATCCGATATGCACGAATATTGAAAGGAACCAAGAACTTTGGATAAGAAACATGCATATCAAGTTTCATCAAAATCAGATGAAAATTGTGACCTCTAAAGTGTCCACATGCTAAAAAGGTGAATTTTCATACAATCCATGAAGTTATGGTCCGATATATGCGAATATCGAACGGACATCCAGACGGACGGACAGAGACGGCATATTACATCCACATGAAAATCTGGGCGTATAAAAATCATATTATGAGTCTCAAAATATCTTAAACAAATATATCTTACCGAGAGATTTTTCAACACCATCCGCGAGGTAGGGGTCATAAAATATAACATTAAACCCAAATACTTTGGCTCTGATTGCAACAGCTGTTCCTACTCGACCTGAACAAAAAAAGAAGAAATTATTCATCTAATAACAAACAAGTTAAAGTAAGTCTAGCTTTCCTATTTCAAAACTGAAACACTCTTTAATGTCAATGACAATACAACCTGTCAGAAATAAAATAACATCAGATTTTCAACTGAAATCAGATGAAATGAACAATGTGCTATCAAAACAAGGCTTTGCACACAAAGTCCTTAGCGTGTCACATACAATGGTAAACCATGTTAGGCCATCCATGCCGTTTTGAGACAGAGTTATGTAATTTTCAAATGAAAGATGACAGGATAGGAGCCATCTCAACACATTACTTTGGTCATTTTAAGGCTAACATATAGTGCAAAGTTAGGCAGAAGAATTTTGCTGTCATGTTTTTAACCTTCCAGGGTTCTTTTTCATTCACACCAAGTAATTATCAGAAAATCATTAGAATTTGTTTGGTTTTATAAAGTTCTCCTCCATGCATACACTTAATATCATGGATTTACCTGTTCGTCTCAAGACCTTAAACTCTGTGTATAAATTTAAAGTCAATCGGATATTTACTTTAGCTTCTCGAGTGTCCACAAGATTTTTTGAAGTGATCAAGGGCCAAAACCCTGGCAGTAATTATCGGAAATGGCTGAAAATAATAGGCTTCTTTATCTCATGACCATAAACACTGTATGAATTTAAAGTCAATCGGATATTAAATTTGGCCTCTAGAGGACCCACAAGATTTTTTTGAAGTAATTAAGGGCCATAATTCTGGCAGTAATTATCGGAAATCGCTGAAAATCAATAGACTTCTTCGTCTCATGACCTTAAACACTGTATAAATTTAAAGTCAATCGGATATTAACTTTGGCCTCTAGAGGTCCACAAGATTTTTCAAAGTGATCAAGGGCCATAACTCTGGTAGTAATCATCGGAAATCGCTGAAAATCAATAGGCTTCTCCGTCTCATGACCTTAAACACTGTGTATAAATTTAAAGTCAATCGGATACTAACTTTAGCCTTTAGAGTCCGTGAACGCCGGACCGCCGGGGCCGACAACAATATACGACCACATTTCAATATGGGCGTATTAAAAGGGTTTAACATCCTACTGTTCTGCTCCGACTGGGATAATTTAGACGGGCATAAAGTGTGCTATAAAGGTAATTATTTTTGCCTGGACAGCAACACTATGGCCCATTCTTGTATCGAATTCCAACTGCCAAGGGTTCTTTTACATGCATGCCACGTGTACACGGGATCTCGTTTTTTTTGTCCCATCCGAACAACTATACGTTGTTCCTTGCCTTGTCCTCCGTCCTGCACCACTGACAAGGGGGAAACACGCTGGAAAATCCAGATGAACTTTCTTGGCCAACCCAGCAATCGAAAACGGTGCCTCCAAGTTAGCGAGCCAATGACTTACTCACTGAGCGACCGTGGCTCCCCCAAACAACCCAGGAACACTTTGTCACCTGTGTGTAGGCACTATATAAACTCTGGCATGTGAGAAACCGGCATCAAAGATGCAGATCATCTTCTCATCCCAGGGCATTCCTAGTTGAGACTCCAGTGCCATTTTTGCTCATAAGATGATGACATTATTTTATCAATAGCTAGTCAAATAGATATATCTTATATTAGAACTTACCTAAACCAACAATACCTAAAGTATCTCCCCTAATACGAGCGGAGCCCTGTGCAGCTTCACGCAAATTCTCTGGCCCATTTATTTTCTTGCCATCACGCACCATATTGGCAAGCCAATATGTGCGACGATATAAATTAAGTATAAGACACATTGTGGAATCGGCTACCTCCTCTACACCATAGCCAGGAACATTACATACAGCAATCCCTGGAAAATAATGAAAGTTCAAAGATTTACTTAAAGTATTGGTAGGTCTATTGCCAGAATAATATGTCATCATTAGTCAAACTTCAACAAAATTGTTAAATATACATGAATTTCTAAATTCTAACAATTACATGTCAGACTTTTTGGACAAGGAACTGGGACCCAAACACTACTCATCTTACTGTTCATCTTGGTGGGCAATACTCTTCAAAAAAGCCCAAGACTCAGTCAATTGAAGTATGATAGACATGAAACATGGCACGCTTGTTCCTTGTATAAATTGCACATCAATTGACAGACTTGCTGTACATTTTTAATACCTCACAATTCCAAGATGGTGGCGAAGGTGTCATGCTCAGTTCTTGGTCATGCTTGTTGAATAATATTCTTTGTTATCTCAATAAAATTACAGTCTCTAGAAATTTCTTAACGTCTAAATCATTATCTGGTTGAATGTATTATTCACTCACAAGAGTGATTTATTGTATTCATAATCATAATCCATTAATGTGTATAATCCATGTTTATTCATAATCTATGCAAGAATATTATCAACTGGAGAGAGGATATACATGTATTGTACTCATAATCCATGGAAGTATATTATCAGAGAGGATATACTGTACTCATAATCCATGCGAGTATAATTTCCACCAGAGAGAGAGCAATATATTGTATTTATAATCCATGCGAGTACATTATCCTCCACGGAAAGGATATTATTGTATTTAACTACTAACATGATCGAAATGATTAAGAATGAAGTATGCATATATCAAAGTTCTTATAATTTAAACTAAATCTTTTCAATAAATGGAATGTAAATCGATCTAAAGGAATAATTCACTAACCTAATTCTGCTGCAGCTTTTATATCAACATTATCAAAACCACTACCAATCCGCACTATAACACGTAAACTTTTAAACTTATCCAAATCTTCTTTTGTTAGAGTTATTGTATGCCACATTAATGCTCCTACTGCTTCATTTAATACCTAGAAAATTATCATAAAATAAAACTAAATGCATGTAACTTGACTCCATATTACTCACCAGTGATTACTATCCAATAACTGACTTAATCAAATCAAATAATTCTGTTCTGCGTATTGCATCAGTGCAAACTTTAATAATATAAATCTAAGTAACTTCAAAAATAATTCCTCGCCACACATCCCCCAAATTTTTTTCTCAGAAATCCTGTTTACGCCACTGTACATTAACTCACATGTTTGAGCAAGTATTATAGGATCTTTGATGTTAAAAGGTATGTATTGTTGACATAAGAAGCCAATCAGAAGGGGTAGTAATGATATATTATGGTCCATGGCTGTGTCAACATCGGGTTAGTGCTGAACGACTTAAGTCCTGGTAATTACTAATGCTTATAGTATCTTCATGAACAAAAATGTACATGTACTAGAAAAGCATGAAACTTTCGTTTGCATGAAAAGAATATATAAAACTTAAATGGTTGTTGTAATATCATACCATAGTTTTAGCTAAAACTCCATCAGTGTCTGTGAATTTATGACACAATTATGTTACCATAACGTTATTTGCAATTCATGATACAATCTTTTCTTGTTTTAACTCTAAATTATTATATTAAATACCTACCTTTTCGTGAATTTCTGTCGTAGATTGAGCATCACAAAATGCTACTGTTGCCACATCTTTTAATATTGGCATTTCTATCGAACAGTCCCTACCATCTAAAAGTGCCACTAATGGGCGTGGATGCATAGGTCCATTTGGGATAGGTCCTCGGATTGCCACTAAAAATAGACATCAAATAAAATTATAACATATACATCTACATCTACCTACACATATGATCAGCAGAGTTAATTCCCCATTCCCTAAAATAAATTTGATGAAATTCTAAATCTACACTAGATACATGTATGTAGAATACTTACTAGTTTGTTCAATTCGTGGTTTCTTCACTGGATGAGCCGCCAATCTTCTTTTGTCCATCAGCTGATCTCACCTCTTAACAAGGGTGTTTTCAAGTTTATACTTGTCGCTTCTACGCTCTCTACAAAGTACCAAGAAAAAAAGATCTATTTCTATGATACATTGAAATATTAAAGTACAGCTGTAGCAATTTGAATGCATAATAGAGACCTTCATCCCATCCAGAAAGAGAGAAATGGGGTTTAACATCTACTCAATCAAAACTAAGTTATTTTGGGACAAACACATGGTACAATTTTAGTTGATAATTCGTCTGTGCTGAGTGGACTTTGTCAGTGGGAGGAAACCAGAGGCCCCTGAGGGCAGAGGACACTACTCCTTACCACAGACAAGCTTGTGATGAAAACCACACCACCTGCCTCTATGACAGATCTTATGATCTAAAGCAAATGGGTTAGAACACGACCACCCACCTCGCCAATATACCTGAATACGCCCCTGCGGTGTCCCAGCTCAATTGCATCCACATTCAGGGGACTCATTGTTCGTATCACAGCAAATTATAGGCGAAGTTCGCGAAAAATCTGCTATGCCATAGCCCAGAAATATGTGTAACTTTCTATTTACATGTATGTACACTTACATGTAGCGAAAAGTAATGTGGGGATAACAAAGGATCATGGAAAACAGTCATTATTTGAGTAATATAAAGTATTTCAAATATGATTAATGTTTAAATTCCATTTATTTTCTAGGTGAATGTGATCAAGTCTGGTTAGTATGATTTACATGTATATTTAATTACTAATATGAATTTGGTAAGCAATTATTTTTTTGGGTCAAGAAATAAAATTTGGAATTCAGGCATTTCCCTTTCTCTGATGTGTTTATACATATTAAATTAATACCTGTACATTTACTCATGGATGAAAATGACATGGCATGCAATTATTTGTAAAAAAAAAACAATTAGAGATAAATTGTGGACTTACATGTATATCAAATTTAGAAACTGTCAGGAAATACACAAAAATTCAGTCAATAGATGATAAAAGTTGAACATCATGGAACATCTACAAAAGTAACAAATTACATTCAATACCTAACTTTGTATTACACCATGTAAACTAAAACTACATACATTATTCAGATCATCATTCAAGCTAAAATAAGTTGAGAAATACATGTAATGGTCTTATTCTAACCCAAATCTGTTGAGCATGGACTTACGTATGCACGGTTTTGCATGTACACTGTAGACTGTACATGTAGCATTTTTGGCATATAGGGTAGACCAACAAAAATCTGTGCCAATTTATAACACGGTTTAGTTATTTGTAATATACCGTAGGACAAACAACAACAACATATCAATGACCTGATTTCAAGATTATCATCTACATGTACATAATAATTGTAGGCCTAATGCTAAACTGTAAATAGTCAAACATTTCAAAATAAACCATAAAGAGTTTAAAACTTGATCATTTAATAAATGAATTTGAATTTATTTTGAACTGTAAAATCAGCATTTTCTGTGACCTCTATTATAGTCACAAAACTTGAGTTTTGTCTTCAGTGACAAAAGTTATTGTTGCTGACATGTAGACAAAACTGAAAGTTCTGTACATTACTGTAGCCATTTGTAATATAACACAATAACTGAAGTTATCATTTTGTTTGTATATTGTACATGTTCAGTTAAGCAAACAGTTAAAGTCATGCTTGTAATGATGTTGTAAAATGTGAATTATCCTTTCATATATTTGTTAGTTGTTTCTTCATTTTATCACAGCATGCTTTTATGATTCATCTTCTTGATAATTTGAGCTTATTTATTATTCGTGTTACCGCTTACACAATATTATAATGGACTAAAATAGATGGAATATGTTTTAAATACTATATAATATACATTTAATCTATTTTAATTTGAACCAAAATATCTGGGTTTCAGATATCTCATTTTATGTTCAAACACATACAATTTGGTGAAATAGAAAATATCAAAAGAATCAAGAATCAAGCTATTCTTCGCAGTATATTTGTGAATATATCACTGCCAAACTAACTTAGCAATTTTATAAACAGAATAAGTAATGTAATAGCAATGTATCTGAGTTTGCAATACAAAAGCTTGGAGTACAGACGACTTAGCAAAAATGGGGTACGGTAAGCAAGAAATATAAACAACTTTCCCTTTTATCCCAGAATAAAAACATTTATTATAAAAACATTTATTATAAAAACATTTACTATAAAAACATTTATTATAAATACATGTGTACATGTATGACATTAAATAAAATAACTACACCATTAAATACATCAAGAGTGATAATATAAAAAAAATAACCTTGGTATGCTTACACATACACTCCTTATCAGTGACAGTATTTATAAAAAAGAATAATAGCCAATACAACTACATATAAAAACTTTTTTTACTGTCAATCCTTTAGTGTCACTGTGACATCTAGATGTACATATAAATAACTAAATGATTTTTCTCCAACTCCAGCCAGCTCAGGCATAAAATTTGGTAAACCCATTGTTATGCCTATGTATTTATGAATGACCCATTGCCATACCCAAATCTAAACCCTCTGAATAAATTCTGACTTTTACACAAAATAAAATAATGTCACTGATTTACAAACCAGAAATGCTTTTTATTGATTATAATCTGTATCACAAATAATGCCCATTTCCATCCAAGATCAGATAAATAAACAAAAGGAGGAAGTTGTATCAATCATGTCCGCGCGGAATCGACACCCCTTTGCTGGGGGTAATTTGCATAAATTGCACCGACATTGACGTACGTCCGACAGTTATCAAGATTTGAAGACGGATATCATACCTTGATACAAAACAATAACCAAATTTACCACAACCCAATTCCATAATGTCGTTAACCTTTGTTGACTACAATATTTAGGGCAAGCCAAAGCATTGTAGAGTGTAATAAATAAAACAAATGTCTTACATTTCTATGCTGTTGCAGTTTTCAAGGACTGTGACCTACTTTTTAATCCCATTACGATTTCAATTACGTTATGTGTTACGCATGAATTAAAATCGTCAATTTGAGAAAATGTGTCATCGCTACGATTTAGTACATTAATACACTAATTCAATCGGGATAATTAATAATTATAAGCCCCATAAAGTGAAGCCAAACTCACCTTTTTTTCAATCCGAGACAAAGGCTGTCGCGTAAGCAAGGGTCCGGTTATATAGGACTAAAATGAACACATGCACTCTCAGATATGATTCGACTGTTCCTCGTTAAAGTGTGATTTAATGTTGAATTTCCCCAATTATTAATATATAAAAATAATATTGATTTTACGTAAATATTAAGGTTAATTCCTCCCGGGTCACGACAAACTTACAGAGGAAAAACCTTGCCGCTCAATGGCGCGTGATCTCGTGAAATCTCGGATCTCGTGATGTAAACGATAAATCAAGCATTTTTTTTAAATTAAGGTTATTCATACAAGAAACTTTTACCTATTTAACGCGTAAAAATTATACTTATTATGAATTTTAAAATCATTTGGTTAATAAAAATATATAAACCTCGAGAGTCGGTTCGATTAGACAATATTTTGGTTCATTATACTTACTGGAGCTGCAGACGTGTTGAAGTCAATACGGCCTAAACGAAAAGGTGACGAGGTCAAAACGGACAAGCGACACGTGATTGAGAAGAAAAGGGGTGCTTTTAATAACCATACGCCCATATACCAATACCAGGATTAAAGGTATATAACAAAAAATATAACATTGGATTTTTTTTTTTTTTTTTTTTTGTAACATGTTTTCTTTGACAGGGGTGGTGTATGAGGGAAGCTTATTCCGAAATTTAAAGTACTTTTCTTAACAAATGTAAATTTTAATTCGTCTTCTTTTTTTAAGAATGAGAGAGGGGGTCTTGTTGTATTTTAGGGCAAATTATCGCATAAACGCCTCGATCGTTATGCGGGTTTTCTTTGCACACCCTGATCAGTGCAGTTTTACCAAAGCAGCTCCGAGAAATTATAACCAATCCCACTCACCTGATATTTCCAGTATAGACGGTAATAGGCTGATCCGGACCTTGCTCATTCGGACCAGATTGCTCGCTCATAAATAAATAAAAACATATGCAATTTGTTTTGTTACAGCAAACATATGCCAATTGGTATATTAAAACAGAGAGAGAGAGAGAGAGAGAGAGAGAGAGAGAGAGAGAGAGAGAGAGAGAGAGAGAGCGAGAGAGAGAGAGAGAGATGAGTCTACTTCTAATCGACACAACCTAGGTCACTTGCATATTGTGATCCAATTTATTTTATTACAATAAATCTCTTGTGCGTAGAGGTCTTTAGCTATGGGAGGCAATCGGAGGACCCAACTCCTTGTCACGTACAAGCGGGGAATCGTGACCACGCTACTTGACTCAATGACAGACCATTCGGCCACGAAACTTCAAACATTGATAACTTCGTTCATACTGTAAAGTATTTTCAATATCTATTTATTTTTTAATATCTATTTTTGAACTACATGTATTATTGCAAAGACGGCTAGCTAGCTCTTACATAGTGCATTTTTAATAGGATGGTGCAAAGAATACCCAATGATTATAAATGATATGAAAACCAACGCTATGTTGATCAATGCGCTACCCCGGATAAACGCAAAAAAAAAAACAACCCCAAAAAACAGGTACTATCCGAATTTAAACTTCATGGTGTTGTTCTATCTACAGATCAACCTATGCATCAAAACATCTCTAACTAACAACTCTTGTAATTTTCGGTACTAAAAATCAGAATTTATAGGCCTAAATCCCAGGATAATTTTGCTTCCGGACACCTGTTACCACTGTTCATCATGTATTTTGTACATGGTGAACAGTCCATATGCTGATTACACTATTTTACCGATACCGCTTTTTAGGACTTCTAATTTTTGTCTTACGGTTTGGATTGTTCGTACTTGGTTTTATTTTATTATTATCCCACATTCAGTCCCACCCCAACTAGGCTACTACTCGTCCAAAATCGAGCCTTTAAGCTTACCGACAAAAAAAACCCCCCAAAACACTGAAACGAACTTGCTCCAGACATTTAAATATTAGACTACCTACAGGACTGTTGTACTATTAACAATTAAACCTATATATAGGCCTAGCACAGATTCCTCGACGTTTTCTGAATAAAGTAAGTAGACCTATAAAAACTATCATTATCAGCATCTTTATTATCGACACGTTTGACTAATGATCAAATGGTACATGTGGTCGTTTTGACTCAAACTTAGATCCGTTTTGACTTTAGACCGGTTTGATTATCACGACGATTTGACCTCCAGAATTCATTGATGATCTTTCACCACAAACAATACATTGTACACATCGAACGCATCTTCACTGAAAAAATAAAATGGACAAGGAACAGAACATGGCTGATGTGAAGTCACTTGAGCATCCCACGTTAAAGGTTCATTGATTTATCTTTCCATGTTTTATTCGTGCATTGTAGATCTTATATTCAATAATGTAAAAAGTTTAAATAACACCAGGCCCCACATCAAATCGGACAAACTATAAACCTCTTCATACGGGGTAGGCCTACTGACAGCACTGTCACATTTTCATTTTCAAATCATACAATTTAATTTACAAACAAGTTGCGTCAACTATTGTATAAAGACGACAACACAGTTTAAGAGCATGACAACAGTTATCACCAATTTCGTTTATTTTTCTATTGGTCTATTCAAATCAAACCATTTCTCTCTGTTTTTTTGCGAGAAATATATCTAGGCTCACGTCTGTAGTGTAGGCTAACTAATGTGTTGTCACCCCCTCACAGAATGTTACAGAATTTATGGCTATTATTAGTATTAATCACAGTCAGATCACTACAGTGGATGAATTAAATTGCTTACAGACTTAGAGTAAACGTTAAAGGAGCTAAATTGCTAATATTTGGGACTTAGAAGTAGAAATTGACTCAAATGGGTGACAACGCATATGATAATGTAATCTGATTGTATATGAACTAATTCACATTCAATTGTTTCTGTTTTGACTCTAATTTCACATCAGTTATGTCCAGCGAAATACGGCATGGGTCTCAACCGAATAGAAATTTCTAGCGTCTGCTTATTCTAGTCTATTGCGCATGCTCTCCAAATAAGTTATGGCCTCGCTGTTTGACATAAGTTGTGGAATATGTCTAGCCTCGTTCTTTCTGGTCACTTGTTACAAATGATGCTGAAACGCACTATGGTACACGATTCGTGTACCAATGGTAAAATGTTTATTTTGTCTTAAATATTGGATATCAGAAGCCTACCTTTTCAAGGTAAGATAACAACATCAATGTTGATTTGAATTGACAAATAATTTGTGTTTTCAACGTGTAAGAGTTTGGATGATTTTGAGTTAGAGACTTAGCTACTTTAACTCAGTGAGTGGAGTGTATTAAATTGAAATAATTGTTCTTGACCTATATATTATTATGTATATACTATATTTTAATGGCCCCCTAAATTAGCAAAAAACATTCACCTGTGACTATGAACATTTTAGAATTATCGCATAACAGGGCCTAAAGTTTCTGATCCTCCCCTGGTCGACATCTGACTAAAAAACTATAAGTTTTTCATATTGACGTACTAATCTTAAGGGGCGGCTCTCACAGACCTCTGGTTTTGATAATGATGACATGAAAGATATCAGTAAAGGAATGTTAGATATATATCACTCCTTTTCTGCAGTGGAGCAAATGGGATGTTAAGATCCCGTGACAGATGGAATTGAAAATAAAAATAGGCTGCAACAGCACTGTTGGGGCAAAAGTTACATGGTAGCACACTGCATTGTATATGCCATCTTCATTGACTTGGTTAGTGGAGAAACATTAAAGTTACTTGATGGCACACTGCATTGTATGTATAGAGAGAGAGAGAAATGGGGTCTAAGGTCCACTCGACACAAACTAGGTCATTTCGGGAGTAACATGTTTTAATTTTATTTCAATAATTCGCTTGCGCGTAGGGGTCTTTAGCAGTGGGAGGAAACCGGAGGACCCGAAGAAAACCCACGAGGTTGGACAGGTAACCCTACTCCTTGTCACGTACAACCGGGGATTCGAAACCAAGCCAGTTGACACACAGGCTTTATGATCCAGCACGCACGTGCTAACCATTCGGCCATCAACCCCCCGCTGCATTGTATATACCGTATGTCTTCTTCATTGACTTAGTTGGTGGAGAAATGTTAAAGTTACATGATAGTATACTGCATTGTATATACATGTACTTCATTGACTTAGTTGGAAGAGTAACATTAAAGTTAAACCCCATTTCCAATTTAATTTTAGGTGCCATATGAAGTATTGAATAAAAGATTTCGAGCTGCACAGAAGAATATAGATAGAGAAGTATCACATGTACAAAATGCTGGTAATGATTTTGAAAAATGTCTACAGAAATCCTCAGTGTCTGTTGGAGAGGTCACTCAAGCTATTGGTAATATGGTAGAAAAATTGTCAATTCTAAAGAGAAAGGTAATTTTCATGAACTTGTGTAAGCTAGTGGTAGAGTGGCCCACAGCCTCAAATATTTGTACTATAGAAACTGACCTGTTTTAACAGCATGTTGTCACTCAGATCAAAATTTGGCATTTATGAGGAAAGTTCAGTCACAGGTTCACTCGTGCACTGCAAGCAGCAAACATTCTCACAAAATAGACATTTACGTGACAATATTCATTCACTTATTTATCAATGAAGCCATGAAAAGAATTCTTTACTAGTTGGACTTTTAAAAATATGTAGTTACGAACTAGATTAATATTTTGGATAAAACTCAACGATTTAATTTCTAAGTTGGTTGATTGTAACCAATGACGTATATATTCTAACGGTTCTCGGTTCAGAGTCAACACATGTAGTTTCGTCCTTTTTCTATCTTTTAAACTCACTCTCGCGGCAACATACCAAAACTGTAAGACTGAAAGTTACTTTTATTTAACGTAAAACCCTGTTGTTAGTTGACACGTTAGTGAGTTTAGAAGTTACATTGCTAGCTCTAAATATACAGAAAACAATTTGAGACTGGAAATTAACTGAACGACATCTATTTTCTATAGTCTCAATTAACCAGACTTGTATGATTAAAATAAAATTATGGCACTATTCATTAGGGTGCTGCGAATTTGTTATCCGGTTTTGGGTCAAATTTAATAGGAGGATGTGTTGTACAAAAGGGCTGTGACATTAATTGTGTTTAGTATGCTTATGCTTTCACACATAAAAACTGCATTTGCAATTTCTAACAAAATGTTTCAATTATTATAAATTCAGCAACAACTCATTTTTCTAGAACTGAAATATAACTAAAAAGACACGCATTGACTGTTTCATGATTATTAAAGTGAGAATTTCAAATTTTCTAAGAAAGTCAAAACATAATTATTTCTATGTCTTTTGCTCAATAGGTTATCAAATCACTATTATACGATCATGGGCATTATTTCCCACCCTTAAAAATCTATGACACAGGAAATAACTTTAATGTGACCAAGAAACATAACTCTTTGTGATGAACAAATCTACCGCTGTAACGCCTCATGGGCGAACAACATTTCTACATGTTAAACAAAAAACATTCAAATGGTTACATCACATAAAAATCCAACTTAGCAATAGTTTAATTGTTCATGAATGATGATTTTAATGGTAAGTCTTATCAAATTTGTTAAAATAAGCCCCAAATAAAGCTTGTTTTGTTCTGGGCATGAATCACTCTACCAATGGTCGTATTAATGTAATATCGCATTAATAGTAATAGAGTACACATTATTCAAGCTTTCATAGATTTATTACCACTTGAACTCAAGGGAATGGTTGCTCTTCTACTTTTGATACTGTATACAGTTTAGGCTGTGTCAGCTGTGTGGAAGTGATACCTAAGAGGGTGTGCGGTAAACACAACGCAAACTGTTATGTAGCATATCGTTTTCTGATTGATATTTACGATTATCATAAATAATAAATAAAAATAGGGGTATCTTGATATTTTCCAAATTATTTTATTCTCGTTGCTGCTTCAAGAACATGTTAAAAATATCCGTCAATAATTACCTGCCTTGGTTTATATGATAAAAAATGAAAGCTAAATGTCTGCATGTCTGTAATAGTACCTGATGTCTAAACATTGTTTATCATGAGTACCTATTTTAAAATAATATTGATAGATTAATCACTCGGCAAAACGAATGGCCGACTTCCAGGTCTTGTTTTTTATTCACGCCCATGGCAAGCCTGAAGTTTTCGCGCCAAAATTAACTATTTACTGTACGTTTTTCAGTATGAACGCCTTATATGATAGGCACGTGGCGTCTTATATGGTAATAGGGTTCAAAGCATTTATATACATGCAAGATTGTGGGATAATGACACTATCGCCATGAATTTCAAAATGTTGTTATTTATAGCTAATAGAAAGGGCTTTCAGATGTATATAATTTTCGTGTATGGCATATGTTGTTGCCAAATGCTCGATAATCATGTTTTCATTGGTTAATATCGCTAAGATCACCCGCATCAGGTCAGTTTCATCCAATTAAATGTATTCTTACTGTAAGAATTAGACATCGTCAGCATAACAACATTAGTGTAATATCTGTAACTTTCACTGGATAATATTATCAAAAACATAAGTCTCTGGTTACATTATCTATGGTTTGCTACAAACAGCAATTGGCATAATATGTACTTGATAAACATGCTGATAAACAAATGTTCGGTTCAAAATTGTAATAAACAGGCGATTTCTGTGTCTCAATTCCCAAGCGCACAGGTGAGAAGAAACAAGGTATCAATTTTACACGGCCTTAGGTGAAGAGGAATGGTCTTTTTCCTTTTATTGTGAGGTCTGTATTTTTGTAGAAATATTTGTGACCCTGTAATAGGTTATTATCAATATTTTACCAAGCTACAATATATTATACTACTACCCTGTCAAATGTCTATTATCAGCTTGCATTTAAATTGTTTGTTAGTCAATCATGTTTTCTTCAGTGGTTAAATCCAACGATAATTTCTGTTTAAAACCTGATAGTGCATATTAAAACTGACTATTTCATTGGATGATTTTTAAAAAAAACAAACAGTAAAACTTGAGGAGCTTGCCTAAACCATAGTGATCAGACGTTCGTGATTGACATACATACTTTGACTCTGAGAATATCTGCAATAATATGAAATGAATAGACATCATATCATTTGATTTTAAAAATTTATTTATAGAATTGTTATAAATGTGTTATTTTAGGCTGCCAGTCTTCATTATCCCATTTGGTGCCGGGGGGTCACTGTGGCTAAGTGGGTAAGACGCTCGCTCGCTAGTCTGGAGGTCGGGTGTTTGATCCCTACATTAGCCGAGAAAGTTTGTCCAGATTTTCTGGCGTGGTTCCCTCTTGTCAGTGATGCAGGACGGAGGGCCTGAAAAGGACAGCTGTCTAGTCATTCGAATGGGACAAAAAACGAGGTCCTTTGTACACATTGGCGTGCATGTAAAAGATCCATTGACAGTAGGAATTCGATGTAAGAGTAGGCTGTAGTGCCGCTGTCCGGGCAAAATTTCCCTCATAGCACACTGTATGGTGTATGCCTATCTTCATTAGCCCAGTTCGGAGCAGAACAGCAGGATGTTAAACCCCATTTCATTCCATTTGGTGCCGAAAAGACAGGATGTTAAACCCCATTTCCTTTATTTTAGGCTGATGAAAGTCTTCAGCATGAGATAGATGCTGCTAGAGTTATTAAAAGAAGAGTTGACCATTTAAAAGAAGTAGAGAATTTACCAGATAGTGCCAAACCATTATGGCACAAGAAAAGGTTGGATCGAATGATCGTAGAATTTTTTCTCCGAAAGGGATATTATAATTCAGCTTTAAAGTTAGCAAAACATTCAGAAATAGAGGTAAATAAACAAACATAGATTTCATTGAAAACTACCAGGACATTATTATTTGTAACATACTTGAACTCTTAAAGGACATAGAGTAAGGTTGCCTGCCTAAATTAATGTGTTATTTGAGTTCTCCATTTTTCTAAAGATCCCTGTATCCATGATCCTACCCCACCCCACCCCCTCTCCTTGACTCAGTTTTTATAATGCAAGCAAATTTGTTGGCATAAAATGCACATGACACATATTTTTACTTTCTTTTTTGTTCAGGAATTAACAAATATAGATTTGTTTTTAACATCAAAAGAAGTTGAAGAATCTCTGATGAAACATGAAACATCTCCATGTTTGGCCTGGTGCCATGATAATAAATCAAAACTTAGAAAAATGAGAGTAAGTAGTAGTAGCTATTGGTCTTAATGTTCAAACTATTACTGGTAGTACCATGTTCAAACTATTACTGGTAGTACCATGTTCAAACTATTACTGGTAGTACCATGTTCAAACTATTACTGGTAGTACCATGTTCGCCAGTTTTACCACATCTAGACGTTGCTTGACTGATCTGCAATTCCTGAAGTTATAGCTACGTTATAACGCTGACACGTATACAAACCTTTAAACGAACCTTGAAGTTTGCAACTTGATTATCACATTTACACATTGTAGCCGGAAAATTCGAGACTTGGCATTCACGATGATCGAGGAATCTTATAGACTTCCCAGCTGGGTCAGTGGCCAATCAAAATTAGTGCCAAAACATGAAAGGTATTGAAGGGCTTGATAAGACGTACGGAGTTACAGTGAGATCAAGCCTTTCATTGAAGATGTGGAAGTACTAACTATTGGTCTTAATATGTTCACACTATTACCGGTAGATTCACTCTGAGTGGGGATTTGGCTTGCAAGCCCTTTCTCTGCAACACATTACTTTGGCACATGTTTTTGCACTCAGCAGATTTACCTTTGTGTCCTTAGTATTTATACTATCTGGCTTGAGTATACCCCTCGTCGAGTCCTGTGGCAATGTACTGGTTATCTGTGCTAGTCCTCCCCCTAGTAGGCAGGGCAGTAACCTGATAAAAAGAATACTTCATGGATTCCCCAATCCCCCCTCCACCCCAATAAGAGTCAAAAACAGAAATGTCCTAATACAGATGATGTTTCTAATATATTTAATTTTACAAGTAAGATATTAAAATCTTGGCCAGGTTTTCTCTTGATTGAGAGTCCCTCTATGGATTTATCTAAAGTTTCACTTTTCTTAATAGCAAAGGGCATGGCTGGTGAGCCCAAGGCTATTAAGAAATTGAAAAATGGAGCACGTTTGATAGAATGCGCTAAAGAGCAACATGCTACTACTTTGTTGCTTAAATCATCAACGTTAGCAGACATTCCTATCAAGGTGTCTCCTCATAAATATTCTGATTGAGTGCAATTTTCTCAAGGACATACGATCAAAACATTTCCATTGCCAGTCTTTAAATCAATTATTTGCTCAACTCGACTTTTTTTAAAGAGTCAAATTTTTATAGACAATTTTAATTGTAAATATATATAATATCTTGTTTTTCATTTTTAAATATTTGTACACATGAATTTGTGATTTTTTATTTTTAATTATTAAATATACTGTGGTATTTGTTTTTATTTTGTGTACATGAATAATTTATGTGATACCATATAGTTTGTCTCATACTTTTCAACATATGTTTGGAGCCGACGTACAATAAAACCCTATTTCATTTCATTTCATTTCCTTTCATTTCACTCTGTTTACTTAGTGTATAAAACTAGAGTATTACTGATATTATTACTCTGTTTACTTAGTGTAATTTTGGTTCACATAATAATAATTCTTCTTTTATTAATTTTACACTTTTTTTTTTTCAATTTCAATGAATTATACATAACTAAATTTTAATACTTATTGACATTCTAACTTTGACTATCCAACCATCAACTACCTTTCTACTAAGGGGGGTTAGATGATTGAATAAGTTCTATCATTGAGTCAGCTGGTGTGGTTTCAATTCCCAGGTTGTACTTGACGAGGAGTAGGGTCGCCTGTCCAACCTCGTGGGTTTTCTCTGGGTCCTCCGGTTTCCTCCCACTGCTAAAGACCCCTACGCGCAAGCGAATTATTGAAATAAAATTGAACCGTTAAGTTAGTTCTGGACACGTTAAACCCCATCTCTTAGTGTTTCTTTCCCAGATAAGTTTAGTACCATGAATACATGGACTGGTCCACTAATTTAGCTGTAGAATATTTGAATAAGGTGGAGAAACCCTGTCAAATTGTTTATCCTACTGCTACTAATAATTACAGTTCATTTTTTGTACTATTGTTCTTTTGGGCATAAGAAGGCAAGTTGTGGTCCTACACACTTATCACATGTATCAAGTTGTTGCCCATGACAATTTCATTGATTAAGTTATTGCCCTTTACATTATCATGTATCAAGTTGTTGTCCTTTACATCACCATTATATGGATTTCTTGCACTTAGCATCATCATGTATTCGTGCTCTTCATATCATCAATTATCTAGATGTTGGCCTACACAACGTATTGTATGAAATTGTCATTAAAACTTGTCAGCAATGAAAGGATATCTCTTTATCTGAAAAGGAATTGTGTCTAGCCTTTTGGATGGTAAGAAAAACTGAAGTGATGTGCACTTAAAAAGAACCCATGACAGTTGGAAATCAAAATTTGAGTAGACAGAATAGCGCCCCTGTCTAGACAAAATTTCCCTCATAGCACACTAAAATTTATTTGAAACGTTGTTGGAGTAACATTAGCAGACAGTTTCATCATTCGTTCAATAATTATTTATCAGAAATGAATTGTGTATAATATTTATTTTACAGAGTACATTGGAATTTAATGTTCACAAACAAGAATTTATAGAATTAGTTCGTAATAATAACAGAATTGAAGCTGTAAGGTAAATTTCTCTTTTTGTATATTAAAATTTCTCATTCATCTTCTTTAACCAGTATTTGGATTCTGTTTTCTTTTAAATGTCAACTGGGGGATCACGGTGACTAAGTGGGTAAGACGCTGGCTCGCTAGTCTGGAGGCGGGTGTTTGATCCCTGCATTGGCTGAGAAAGTTCATCCAGATTTTCCGGCGTGGTTCCTCCTTGTCAGTGATGCAGGACGGAGGGCCTGACAAGGACAGCTGTCTAGTCGTGCAGATGGGACGAAAAACCGAGGTCCTGTGTACACATTGCCGTGCACGTAAAAGATCCCTTGACAGTTGGAATTCGATATAAGAGTAGGCCGTAGTGCCGCTGTCTTGGAAAATTTCCCTCATAGCACACTGTATGGCGTATGCCCGTTTTCATTAGCCCAGGTTAGGAGCAGAACAGTAGGACGTTAGACCCCATTTCATTTCATTAAATGTCAACTGAAGCATTGCTGGACAGAGATCTAGATAACACTTGACACAATTATATGGAATACAAATAACTTGAAGGATTTATTTTGGCAACGTTTCGACGAGGGTTCTCTCGTCTTTATGAAGCAAAATATGACAACCATAGTACAATGAAAATATATATATACAAATTATGGAACAAAGAAAAACATTAATATACATCATATAATCATTTAGAAACCATCATAGGTTAAATACGCTTTAATGACTAATAAAATAACATATGATAAATAGAGATAGGATGCCAGGCAACGAAACATATGTCCACAACAGCGAAGTTGTCCGGGTAGTCGACAAGGGTTGTCGCATATTTTGTCTTTTGTCAGTGAGTAATGTTAACGAGCAATAACCTGTTAAGTGATTATCAGAAATCGTTAGAATTTGTCTCGTTTTTTTGTCACATGTCCTTAAAGATACATTATGGGAGATTTTTATAGAGAGTTGGTCATTCTTGCTATAACAGTTCAAAAGTAGACGATGGAAGAAGAATATATTGAAAATTTCAGTCAAATTACTTTATTCTGAACAAAGTTATCATCGTTGTAATATATGACTAGAAATGGTAGTCAAATATATCTTCACCTTGGCCGATCGTTTGAGTGACAGGCGTTAACTCCACCTACATAATCTCGATTATCAAGTAACGTTTTCAGTGGCTTGAGACGGGGTTGCAGTTCAATTCGTATCACATTTATTTTTACTACAAATTAAAAATAAGACTTTTATTATATAGATAAGATGCGAAAGTTTGAAAGGAATGGACCAAATCAATGAAGCATAATTATAGCCGACTTCTTGTTAGCCTGCGTGTACTCTTGTACTGTAAGGTGACCACGTGACTCCCGAAGCAGACAAATACTGAAATAGGAAACACTACAGTGATCCAATGTGGCTGCAATTCAACTGGGGTGATGTTAGCTGCGATGTTTATCAATTTCCATAATTTTTCTGTAAACGCAAGAGACAAAAGAGCGTATAATACCAACATCCAAACTCTCATTTTAACCACAACTGAACATAATATCAAGGTCGTATATATCGAACTTTCAATCAAATTGACTGACATGCGGCATCGCTCAACAGCGGCATCGCTCAACAGCGGCCTCGCTTCGTACACTCTATCATTTAGCCTCGATCTAACTGATGACGTCAACGTAACGGTTAATAATCTCCGCACGGGGCATCATTTTTGATTTAATCAATCAGTGAAATCCTATTTAAATCCAAGCTGTAGCCGAGCCATCCGTGGGTCTACAGAGTTGATTTTGGGCTTGTTGTTTAAATAAAGCTCTAATTTATAATTTCTATAACATCTGAAGCCTAAATTAAGACTTGCGGTAATCAGATTTAGCTCTTGCATAATGTATGTTTAAACAATTTATATTAACATTAGCCTGTAGAGTGCCACAAGATTTTTCAAACTGATCAAGGGCCATACACATGTAGCTCTGGTAGTAATTATCAGATATCGTTAAAAATGAGTGGGATTCTTCATCTCATGACATTAAACACTGTGTGTGTATGAATTTAAATTTCTGTTTATTACGCCTAGAGCTATGGCCCTTGTTTCACTTTGTGTACGCTCTACCGCCAAAAGTTATCTTCCAACCTTTGTCAAATTTATATGCATTATTTAAATTAGTGAAACGAAGAAACCTTTTGAATTACAGCAATTTAGTTCATTACGTCTACAGTTATGGCCCATGTTTCACTTTGTTGAACGTTGTGAATGCGCCAAGACCAAAAGTTCTCATCCGATCTGTATGAAATTTATATGCATCATTTAGATTAGTGAAATCACGAAGCCTATTGAATTTCAGCAATTTACAATAATTACTTCTAGAGTTATGGCACTTGTTTCACTTTGTTCAACCTTGTTTTTGCTCAATTGATGAAAGTTGTCATCCGATGTGTATGAAATTTATATGCATCATTTAAATTTGTCAAACGAAGGTCTTGAATTTCAGCAATTTCCGTCAATTATTTCTAGAGTTATGGCCCTTGTTTTACTTTGTGAGCCTTGTAAACGTTCAAATGACAAAAGTTATCATCTGATCTGTATGAAATTTATATGCATTATTTAAATTAGTAAAATGAAAAAGCCTGTCAAATTAGAAAATTTTCAGTAAATTACTTCCGGAGTTAAGGTCCTTGTTTCAGTTTGTAGAACCTTGTTAACCCTCAAGCGACAATAATTATAATCTGATCTGTATAAAATGTCTTGTAAATGCCCACAATTAGCTACAAAAGAATAAATATGGAACCACCCTTGTCGACCGCTTGGACGATTTAGTTACTGTGGACGTATGTTTCTTTGGCAAGCTATCTTTGTGATTTGTAATCCATGACGTCAACATGGCAGTTGTGATAAGTGATTGTTAAATGGCATGTGCCTCTCTCGACCCCATTGTAATTTTACTCGTTTTTTTCCAGACATGCCAGGAAATATTTTAGTAATGCCGATACTGTTCAAATGCAAGATGTTCAGAAAGTTATGGGACTTCTAGCTTTTCCATCAGACACACAAATATTTCCGTACAAGGTTGGTATAATTATGATTATTGAGTTAGCTCCCTTTTAAATCAACCCATTCTGTAGATTGTTCCAATCCTTTAATTATCTGTATTATGTGACTGGGTGACAGTTAAATGTATTTGTATTCTTTATACTAACGGTGTTTAATATTTTCAGGAATTATTTGATCCAGGACGTTGGCATATACTTGTTCTACAATTTCGCGAAGAAAATTTTAAACTTCACCAATTAAACAGTACATCAGTATTTACTGCGGCTTTACATGCTGGTTTGTCATCACTGAAGACACCGTATCCTTTTTTTGATAACATGCTTTGTATTGTAATTGGTGGACGAATGGCTCTCGGGCCATGATGAGGATCACCAATTAATTGTTGTTCGCATCATCGAGTAGGGTAGGCCGTAGTGCCGCTGTCCAGGCAAAATTTCCCTCATAGCACACTGTATGGCGTATGCCCATCTTCATTAGCCCAGTTTGGAGCAGAACAGTAGGACGTTAAACCCCATTTCATTTCATTTCATTGAGTAGGGTCGTCTGCTTAAACTTCTGGTTTTCTCAGGGTTCTTTATTTTTTGGGGTGCTGTGAATTAATGAAGTAAATATGTACCATATTTTGATTCTAAACGGACTGATTTGTTTTGAGTGGATATATCTAAGAAATGTCTACGTCCCTGGCTCTTCCTGGAAGAGATGTTACAGTTACTCATCATTCTATCATCAATAATCACACTTGTTGTTGTCTTCCTTCATATAATAAGTCATTGTTATAAAAAAGATGGAGATGGTAAAAGTTCAGATTGTCCAGTCTGTAGTCGACATCTTAATGAAATCGCCAAACCATTACCTTACGCTCACTGTGCCAATTCCAGATTGATCTGTGCAATATCTGGTTGTCCTCTTAATGAAAATAATCCTCCCATGATTCTTCCAAATGGTTATGTGTATGGATTTTCTGTAAGTAAACTTTCTGTGTAGTTTATGTTAGTGGAAACTGAATTTTGTAATAGATCTTGTAGATCATTTGTAAAATGTATTCCTTTTATTTAGAGGAATAGCAAACATGCATGATTGTTTTCCTTCAGACTTGGACCAATATTATAGGGACCGTACAATATAGATTACTTATATTTTCATAAATTTTCGTCAACTCTCATAAAATTTTCATAAAATGGAGAAAAAAAAATTTCACCGTTTCTCTTAAAATGAGACGTAAAATTTTTTCCTAATAATAAATTTCTATACTAATAAATCCGGATGTGAATAAGAAAATCATTCAGGCATTTTTTGATCCCCAGCTTGATGCTCTCTTGCATTTTCTATTTGTTCAGTCAATTTTATGTGGGTATATGAACATAGGAGAAGATAACTGCAACCATTAATACCACCAGTGGTACTGGTGGGAAGTTCTTATCTGCATAACACTGGATGAACACTACCTCATGAACCGGAGAGTTACTTACAGTCAGTGCATTTATATAAAAAATCATGATATTTGATAATGATAAAAACATTATAAAAATAAAATTTGATAAAATCATCATAAAATAATCATAAAATTTGATTGAAAAATATCATAAAAATCATAAAAGTCCATTAGAAGCTTTTATAAAAATATAAATTTTTGACAAAAATCAGTGTACGGTCCCTGATATATTGTTCTTTTTGGACAGTGTTTCATTTATTAAAGTGGCTAGGTGGTTAAGATCCTGGCTCGCTAGCCTGGAGGTCGGGTGTTCGATCACTGCATTGGCCAAGAAAGTTCATCCTGATTTTCCGACGTGGTTTCCCCTTGTCAGTGGTGCAGAACGGAGGGCCTGACAAGGACAGCTGTCTAGTCCTTCGGATGATACGAAAAACCGAGGTCCCGTGTATACATTAGAATGCACGTAAAAGATCCCTTGGCAGTTGGAATTCTATATAAGAGTAGGCGATAGTGCCGCTGCCCGGGCAAAATTTCCCTCATAGCACACTGTATGGCGTATGCCCGTCTTCATTAGCCCAGTATAGCAGTAGAACATTAAACCCCATTTCATTTCATTTCATTAACAATCAAGAAATCATTCCAACTGAATGCAGATATCCTAGAATACCACTTTATGTTAAATCTAATCATTATTAGTCTCCTACCAGTGAAACCAATGGTGACTACAGGTTTTCTGTTTGTGTGTCTGTTATTTTTGTTTTTCTGGAAGTTTTAAAAATTTAGCTTTGGGATATTTGTTTAAAATTATGTTCACTGTGCTACAGGTCAAGTTCCGCCTGACTTACACTAGTCATAAGAGTGCTGAGAGGTCGCCCAGTTAGTCATGACTGATCAGTTCCACTTGATCATAAACCAGTCACCGATTTCTAGTCGCCGTCAATATTGTCGCGTCGTAGGGCAACCTAAGCTAGGCTTTATAGGAGATGGTAAAAGAGACATGTAGACATGCATTGCTTCAGCAACACTCTCAGAATGCTTGTTTTGCCATTATTCAAAGTAAGACGTGTTAACTATTTACCTTGCTGCATGAAATCCATCTAAATAATTTTATAGTTGTTTTTACAAGAATATATTCAATATGGCAGTATATTTTTACTTTTTAGGCCCTTGCTACAATGGCAACAGAAAATGATGGTCGTGTCGTATGTCCTAAAACCAAAGAAATTTTTAGCCTTGATGATGCACAAAAAGTCTTTGTTATGTAATAATAATATGTGATATATGTTTATCTATGCTCTAATTTACACCATGCACATATTTGTACATTTTACATTAATTTGCATAAATGATGTGTAGAATATGTGACAAGCTTTTTTAGTTGATTTATTGTAGATAGTTTTAATTGATATTTGATGATAGGATGACTGGTGAGTATTCTTTAAAGATAAAGATGCATTATGTAAGATTTAGATAAAGAGCTGGTCACTCTTGGCATCTTGCTATTATAATTCTAACATAGATACATGAAAGATAATATATTGAAAATTTCAGTCCAATTACTTTTATTCTGTGCAAAGTTGATAGTGTTTGAAGTTTTGACAAAATGTAGCATAGATTGTTTATCTTAGCAACGATACTTGACAATCAAGACTATCATTAAATTCTTAAATGGCTGTGATGTTCTTAAAATTGGAGCCATAGGATAGCCCAGATATTTAATTATGGGATTGTCATGTTAATAAATGTTTAAATAATAATTTATATAAGATTTAAAGCAAAAAAAAGGACCTGCAATAAACAGATTTAGCTCTTATATAATGCATCTTTTTAAAAAAAAAAACAAAAAAAACGCAACTAATTTTAACGCTATAATAATGCTGTCTGACTTATATTTCATTACTTTAGCAACATATCAGTCTGTGATGTTCTTGAAACCTCTGAGAGGTAATTTATCACCAACATTCATGTTTTTACTACCAAATGTTTGAGCTATATTCATTATAACTTCCACAACCCTACTGGAACCCATCTTCAGGAATATACAAGGATACAAATGTATTTTAGTGAATAAAGCTTGCTAACACAGGATGAAAGATTGTAGCAAACCCTTATCCTGTGTAAAACTATCTGATGCTCTGAGGTAGTTTTCTGTTTGCCAGTGAAACTGGCCATGAGTCCAAATATTCCCCACTGTGTAAATACCTAGAAAACTATGGCTATATACAATACTTACAGTACCGGTAGTTATAATTTATGTGGTATTTGATCTTCGCAATTATCTGTTCACTCACACAAGTTTCATAACACTAGCATTTCCAAGGGGTACAAAAATTTCATTTGGTAAATAGGCTATTTTCTTAAAGTATCACTTTAATTTAATCTGGGACATCCTTCTTTAATCTTAACTCCCCACAAAAAACAATACAGAGAGAAACCTTATTCTAATTCATTTTCTCACCAGAGAGAGAGGTTTAAGGTCCACTTGACACAAAGTAGGTCAGTTCGGGACTGGCATATGGATGAAGCTCATTTCAATAATTCGCTTGCGCATAGGTGTCTTTAGCAGTGGGAGGAAATTGGAGGATCCGGAGAAAACCCATGAGGTTGGACAGGCAACCCTACTCTTTGTCACGTACAACCAGGGAATCGAAACCACACCAATTGACTCAATGACAGACCTTATGATAGAACACGCATACGCTAACCATCGGCCATATACCCCCCCGCCCACCCCCCACCTGAAGCCTGGTACATTTCACAACTAATATAGTATTGCATCTATATACAGTAACTTGGTGGTTTATACAGATAAAATATAATATAGGTATAACATATTGTTTAAATGACAAGTATATTCACAATTTGATATTAATAAGCACATTACATGATATTAATAATAAAACGTGTGGATATTTTATACATCCTGAAATGTTAGATTGAAAGAGTTGAATATCTGATAGTATAAAATAGAGACTACACTAGAAAAATGTGACAATTTCATCTGTATTAAGAGATTAATATATCTGTATCAATGATCCAGTCATTTAGTATCAAAGATCCCTCATTGATAATTATCAAAGGTCCAGTCATTTATCAAAGATTTGTAACAAGTTTGTGAAATCTAACTTTCATGCTTTTTTAATTCAGGAGGACATTTGTACTGAATATAAAAAAAAATCATTTTCGCTATATAATACTTTTTTTTCTATTTCCTAAGCTGTTTTCCTTCTATTAGTTTTCACAAAATTTTAAGCAAAAATGTTATTAGGTGGTTCATGTGCAGAATGAACCTCTTTAGATGATGTGTTTAACATTTGACAGTTTAAGCCAAAAATTAAACTCAACTTAGTGGGTCAAAATAAGTGCTAGAATGGATTTTTTTTTTTTTCAAAGCAGACAGTACACTGTAGGATTGTACACTATGTAGACAGAAAGTTTTTCTTTATTATCAGTGCAAGTTTCTTTAGTTTGTCTGATAATGTGTATGTTGTGAGATGGTAAGAACTGAATTATGATATATCTTATATACAGGGTGACCCAAATAAAACAACCCATAAATTTTTTATTAAATCCTACAAAGGTCCAGCAAATTTCTTGTGTGAGATCATTCACCAAAGAACATGTGTTCGAATAATTGACAATTTTGCGCAACTTAGCAAGTTTGCCTTCAGTGCGGCAGAGACCACTTGGAGTATATTTTAGAAAGAATATGACTTTTATGCAAAGCCACCAAAATGACTGAAACTTTGGGGAATGATCTACACAGACTGATGTTTAAGACCAGCAAATTTGATGGACCTTTGTAGGATTTAATAAAAAATTTATGAGTTCTGTTGGGTTTTTTTGGTCACCCTGTACATCTAATAATACTTATATTATTACAGTTATTATTAAGGATATCTGAGATATATACTAGTATACATGTATGTAGCGTGATTATAAACATGAGTAAATCGGAGAATGTTTTAAGATGACTATTTTGAAGAATAAAGGTTATAATGTATACATATATGAAATGTTGGACTATTTTTGTTGTCCTAAGATGAGATCCAGATAAACCAGCTGAGCAAGAGTTGATCTGTGCAAAGAAGGGGTGTTCTGAACACACACACACACACACACACACATACACGCGCACCCATAACGAAAACGAAACGTGAGTAAAGTTCATACTGTTCTGCACCAACCGAGATACTAACGATAGGTTTAAAGGACAATGTTGGTGTCGGCGTTTATTACATTCCAAATATAAAAAATGAAATGAAATGGGGTTTAACGTCCTGTTTTGCTCCGAACTTGGCTAATGAAGACGGACATACTCCATACAGTGTGCTATGAGGGAAATTTTGCCAGGACAGCGGCACTACGGCCTACTCTTATATCGAATTCCAACTGTCAAGGGATCTTTTACGTGCACGCCAATGTGTACACTGGACCTCGGTTTTTCATCTCATCCGAATGACTAGACAACTGTCCTTGTCAGGCCCTCCGTCCTGCACCACTGACAAGGGGGAACCACCCCGGAAAATCTGGGTGAACTTTCTCGGCCAATGCAGGGATCGAACATCCGACCTCCAGGCCAACGAGCCAGCGTCTTACCCACCACGATCCCCCATATTCCAAATATAATTTTAACACAGAGATCATTGACTGAAGTAACGAGCGATACCAGATCCACCGTCTTCCTTTGGAGACGAAAGGTTGTTAGACTAGACTGTGAGAGGATATCTGACAATTCATAACAAGAATTGACTGTGACGAGATAAGAGAAAGCGAGTAAAGTAGAAAATTGAAATTCGATAGAATTACTTTCGGGACAAAATTTCTCCCTAGCACTGCACTATAGGACAATGGCAAAAATGAACGGTATATTAGTCCCAAAATGACCAACGTAATATGTTCAAAATGCCGCGATCTCTCCTCCATTCCTTTCCAAGATGTCTGGTAGCTGGATTAAAAGACCTTTCTCTGGAACAGTGGGAATGCAAATTCGTAATAAATATTCATTCCACAACAGTTTCTTGGGGAAATAAAAGGCTAAAATGAACAATGACTTTTAATACCAAAACATTTTCGTAAGGACATAAAAGACTAAAATGAACACTGATTTTTTTTTTTAATTAACATATTTTACATAATATTAAAGCTCTCAACACAACATCAAAACATTTTTTTTATCACAGATTGTCTTTGATGCCTCATTTAAAAACATTAACCAACAATATTGACTGAAAAATAAATCCACCATTTTATTTAAAATAAAACACATGATATACCTTGATAAATAAAGACAGCACAAATAGTTCAATTATTCCCCAAGTCGTCCATCGTGAATTTAGCCGAAATTGGGATAATTCGCCCCATACCTATTTAAAATATTTGTAGCCATCAAGTTGTCCTTTCTTCTAAGAGATGGATATATTTTATGCGTGCCGTGATATGAGTATTTAAAAGGGTTGTGTTTTAAAAATGGTTCTTGTGATATGGCTAAGACACGAAGTGGTGTCTTTGGCGGGGGTTGAGACGATTCGTGCCAATCCGAAGTCGTCGTATCCAGATTAATGTGACCTTCTTTCGGTTCCGAATACACTTTGGGGAATCGTCGATGAACAGGCGGGAATTCGGTTTTCTCTCCTTTATAATTTGATCTATATTCTGAATCTATGTGATATGGTGGCTGTGGTGTGAAAGATATGTGAGTAAGATGGCGATTGTTAGTATAATGTTGCCTTAGATCGATGGCTTTTATTTGCTTTCCTAAATTTCTTGTTTCTTTACCCTGAAAATTAAATGAAAGAGTATTGGTTATTGCGTAATGGCCTATTAAAATTCAGAAAAAAAAGCCAATCGTTAGCCCAATTAAAAAATGAAATGAAATGAAATCCGGTTTAACGTGCTACTGTTCTACTCCGACTGGGCTAATGTAGACGGGCATACGTCATGCAGTGTGCTATGGTCTATCGAACTCCAGCTGCCAAGGGATCTTTTACGGGACCTCGGTTTTTCAAACGACTAGACAGCTGTTCTTGTCCCGCCATCCGTCATGCACAGATAAACTTTCTCGTCCAATGCAGGAATCGAACACGCAACCTTCAGACTAGCAAGCAAGTGCCATGCCCACTTAGACACCGTGACTCCCCGTTTGCCCAATTAAAATCAAATGGTCGAACTTACATTGCCAAAATACACGCCATCTTCTTGAAAGGTGTGCCTATTATCATGTTCTGAAAATTTGTTGGAGGAATTATAATTTATCTGAAAATAAAAATAGGAATAGGATAGAAAAACAAAAGAAAACCATATTAAGTATTATACGTATAATATTTGAACACGGTATAACTATATAAAGATCAGTATTGTTGGACAGCTTTCACAAAGTATTTATATTATATGGTAGAGTGTGATATTTCAAAAGAACTACTAAATCATCTGAATGTCAGAGAACTGAACGATAGTGTTCTATTGTAGAATGGCTAATGGAGGATCGTGTTGGTGAATTGAGGAGAGCTACCTTATAGATACAGTAACACATGATTGCGTTGATGAACTGAGGGGAACTACCTCACAGATACAGTAACAAAGAGACCCAAAGTAGTGGAATGGTATACAAGCTCAAATAATGGCACACGGCTGAAATACATCAACTTGCGTCCATAAATTATTTCGGACACAATCCAAAGACAGGAGTTCAGATGATGGGCACGTCCATGAAAGGTTCTGATAACGTCAGAGGAAACAAGACACGGGTTTAGAAACAGGCAAAGATTCAACAGATAAAGATAAAAAGACAAGCTTATGAGAACTCTGGAGACAAATACTGATTCAGAGACGATGTCCGTAAACTGAAGACTAACTTCAATAAGCCTATGGCAATCACTATTATAGACAATATAAGCATCTGGTTTCCATCGCCGAATGGTGGCTATGTCATCATACTCATAGGTTACAGCAGGCGCGCGATAACAAAATATGATGGTTTTCGATAAAACTGCGATTCTCCATAACAGATATACACGTTCTATATATATATATAAATTTTGATCTATTTAAACCCGAATCACTTACCTCACTTTTATTTGTGAAAGCGGGCGGTGGGGATGCAGGGCTAACTCGTCTTCTACTATCAAATGGTGCTGACATCATTCTACCTGTACTGGTTACTTCATCTCTAGTAAAATCCATTTTTTCTGTTCCACGATGCTGAAACTAAGAACAAAATAGAATATATAATAACCCAAAGCAGTCAAGATATGTTGCACAAATTAAGCCCCTTTCTCGGCCGAAAAAGTCTCCTTATCGACGTCATCTGGTGACTGACGTTGTTGGCATTGCATCCTTTGAATTTGTTCCCGCCAAAAGCTGATAAGTCTGTTCTTGTCGGTCTTTCGCTGGTCTATATCTGTTATTCTTCAAAAGCTGACACCTATCCATTATAATAAGGAATGAAAAGATTACGCCTGCCCTATTATATAGAACTCTACGGCCACGAGCTGAAATACTAAACGGAATGTTATTGTATTACCATAGAATAACAGAATATAGACTTTAATTTAAGTCCTGTTGGAATCACAAATATGACCAAACACTATAAAATATTTTATAGATGACTTAATGTGAAACCTGGTCATTTCAGGTGTAGGCGTATCATTAGGGCTGATTCTAGGCTTACTAATAAGCGGGAATCAGGGATAGTAACACTCATCCACTATTCTGTTCAGAACAACTTCTCCATGTAGAGTGGTGTTTTACACAACATTATTGGTGCCTTTTTCCATCACACATTTTTGGTAGTTCTGACATTTGTATCCTAAAAAATCTAGTGCGCTCGGATCTAAAAGGGATCTACCAAATTGCGTATTTTTAAGTAATCCAGATAAAGGACTTTTAATGGGTTTATTGTGTACGGTAGTGAGAAAGTGGCCCATAAAATCTACCCACTTCACTTGATATCTTAACCAATATTTACTCTGTACAAATATATATCAATTTAACACTGACCTCTCGCTCAGATAAAATCATTTAGCTTCTGTAGGCTCATTAAAACTACAAATCTTACACAAGTAGAGTTTAGTATACAGTTCTACTTTCCTGTATAGTTTCAAATATACTAGTTTTTTAGTGGTGGACACGAAATATCTTTTCAGGAGTTTACATAAAAAATAAAGCATAGCCTGATAACTGATATTAAAGGACAATATTGATGTCAGCCATTATTACATATGTGATAGAACTGGTTAAACACATTCCAGGCCCCGAGTTCACAAAGCATTCTCAGATTTAAGTTGAGAATTTACTCAACTTTCAATCACTGTTTATGAGAAATATCTTTGATCCAGAAACACAAAACTTGGCACATGGTTTCTTATTGATGTATTTGATACGTTAAAACAACAAAAGTTTTATAAAGGGCTATATTTTAGTTAAAATAAGGCGAATAATTTTGAGTAAATTTTTAACTTAAGTCTGAGAATGCTTTGTGAACTTGGGGCCAGATATAATTTTCACACAGAGATCATTGCTATGGTAAATGCGTAACGAACATTTCAACAAATCGGAAGTGACGTCAAAAATGACAAACACGAGTTATTCTTCTGTATAACTGACTGAAGTAACGAGCGATAACAGACACACGGTCGAATTTCATTTCACTGATAATTCCATTGAAGATAAAAATTTATTATATGAAAATGTGAGAGGATATCTGACAAGTCATAAAAATAATTGACTGTCACCAGATAAGAGAAAACGAACAAATTAAAAAAAAAGTCCGTGCATTACCATGTTTGTCGTTTTTTGCATCACTTCCTGTTTCTTCAAACGTTTCGCTGCTCATTTACCGTAGCAATCTGAGTTAAAATTATTTTTGGAATGTGCTTAACCAGTTATGTCACTTTTAGGACAGCCGGTGCAATTCGTTACTAAAGTAACAATTATGTCACATATGTAATAATGCCTGACACCAATAATGTCCTTTAACTACCTGTCCTTGCAAAACCATCATAGAGCGGTTACAGATATTGTTCATGCCAGGTCCGTAGCTAGCGGGGCAAGAGGGCAGCCCGAAGAAATCTACCATAAGAAAGCCACCTGGAGGTTGTAGAAAATTTTCCAGGTCAAATCCACGATGGGAATGAGATTGATTCAAGCCTGCACAAGGCGTGATAATCTTCAAAATTTCATACAAGTCGCACTCTAACCCGATTCCGAACTTTTCGTTTTTCTCATAAACTATTATAGGTACGCTAAAGTCGTATGACATTTTCATAGTTCCTCTCCTCAGGTGCAAAACCTATTTTCCAAAATTTTCTGCGGGTGAGCTCCCTAGACCCTCCTCCAAAGGGATGAGCGTCCACGGTGTCGTTCGCCGTGGTCCGTCAAGTGCAGGTACATCGGCGCCCCCAGAAGCCCTTACCCCCCCCCCATCTTTTTGTGGCTAGCTACGGGGCAGTTCATGCTCAATTTCATATTTTTTTTTACCCAAATTTCACTTATGAAAATGTCACGGTGTTTTATGTTACAAAATAAAAAGCAGTCTTAAAACATAATTATATTATGTTCAAAAACGAAAATCTGTCGGTGAGTTATGGTCATAAAATGAACACGTTTGCTTTCTATTGATTTCATTCTTGAATTTGTTGTAGTTGTATGTCTGAAAGATAACTCAGTTCTATCCATGAACATCGAGACCAAGGTGCTATATATCCAACGTTTTTATTTTAATTGTCTAAATTACTAACACCTTGTCCTTGTATTAGTTAACTTTAAATGTGGAAATTTTCCATTTATTATTACATAGGAACGTCGGTATTATGTTTCTGCCAACTAAATGTATTCAAAATTTGAGTCGGTATATAAGAAAACTGTTTCTGGGTCACCCCATGACTCATAACATATTTTCATTTTCTTCCAGGTGAATGTAGATTGCGATAATCCTAGTTTATATAGATTTTATATCAGTGATTTGTATTGAGATTTCAGAAGGCCTACGGGTTGAGATTACACACGGAGACACAAATCCTCAATATATTTAGTATATATAAATCATGGCAGTGGAATAGATATCAAGGGAGTTATTTAGCATTTAAAGTTACAATTTCATATTTTTAAGTTATATTTTTAAAATGTATTAAAATAAAGCCCTAAAATAGATGGTATCTATAAACAGTCCTACCTTGTTAAAGAATAATCTTATTAATCCTATAATTCACTATTGCCAGTTGAGAAATTGGCAAAAATATCATTTTCAACTTCAAATTCAAACGTTTGAAGACAACTATTCCATGGTGGGGAATAGGAAAACAAGGGAGGTAATTGTGTTATTATTTCCGGTGTGAAGATTTTTAAGTGTGAGAAAGACAACCTATGATCGTATTATAGTGAGTTGACAACCTATTGAGCAAAAGACATAGAAATAAAATTATGTTTTGACTTTCTTAGAAAATATGAAATTGTAACTTTAAATTGATCTTTCTGCCTTTTAACTTTCGTCATCTTTCTCTCACGGCTTAATTCACGCTAATTAAATTTTAGTAGACAGCAAAATGGCGACTGGCTTATGGCATATATCGATGAAATTTCGATTCATCTTTCACAATACTGTGTAGTTGGCAAGTAATTCCTATATAAGAGGCGAGTCTTTAAGTCGGTACCATCCACAGTCTTCGACATTGCAAACACGACAGTCGTTTGCGCCAAGCTATAAGTGTATCTGTTTTTCTTTTTGTCGCTTGTGGATCAGTCATTTCTGAATACTTCCGCATTGACTTAAGTATTCTCATTACAAATGGCACTCAAGACCACAGAGAACCCGACGTCGGGGACTATTTTAAAATTGCCATTGTTATTAGAGCCCATTTTTCTCGGTAAAAAAATAAAATAAATATTGAATGAAATGAACCAATATTGAATTCTAATTGTGTTTTAATGTCGACCATTATGGATAATATTGGGGTAGAGCTGTCCGCCCTTTAACCGAAGAGAAAGATTGCTGATTTTGTTTTGTGACAGATGGTAATTTTCATGTAACAAAACAAATTCCTAATCAAAAGTAAGATTAAAAAATGCATTATGTAAGAGCTATACTAAATCTTCCTATTGCAGGTCTTTATTTTGGCTTCAAATGTTAGATAAACTATTATTTAGACATGTATTCACATGGCAAGCCTAAGCATCTCTGTAGACCATCAGGTCGTTTCTGGCGAACCGAGGAATCTGATATATTTAAGTATTGAGAATTATGCGTATGAAATTTGCGTTCTGTTGTTATCTCTGTAGCCATCAAATAATAACATTTATGTAAATGGCGTTCAGTGTCCTGGTGTATATGTATGAAATATTAAATCGCAAATAAATGTCATTATTTGATGTCCACAGATATAACAACAGAACGCAAATTTCAAACACATAATTCTCAATACTTAAATATATCAGATTCGTCGGTTCACCAGAAGAGCGACGAGGTGGCCGAGATACATATGGATTGGAACACTCGTGAGATTTATAAAATTTAACGATTGTCAAATACCGTTGCTACATTAATGAACAATCTCGCTAAACCTTTAAACACTCATAACTCCTCTCAGAATAAAATAATTTAAATGAAATCTTCAATATAATCCTTTATCATCATCGATTTTTGAACTATTATAGCAAGAACGATCAACTCTTTATCTACATCATACATGATGTATCATTAATTGAACTTCTATAAACTATAAAAGTGCACATTTAATGTTTTTAGTTAGTTACCATGTATAATCTCCATTGTAGGCTAATAACGTAACAACGTTACAACTACATTGTTTTACCGTGTATATTATCTACTGTAATAACGTAACAACTACATTGTTTTACCGTGTATATTCTCTACTGTAACAAAGTTACCACTACATTGTTTTACCATGTTTATTCTCTACTGTAATAACGTAACAACTACATTTGTTTTACCGTGTATATTCTCTACTGTAATAACGTAACAACTACATTTGTTTTACCGTGTAAATTCTCTACTGTAACAACGTTACAACTACATTGTTTTACCATGTATATTCTCTACTGTAACAACGTAACAACTACATTGTTTTACCATGTATATTCTCTACTGTAATAACGTAACAACTACATTTGTTTTACCGTGTATATTCTCTACTGTAATAACGTAACGACTACATTTGTTTTACCGTGTATATTCTCTACTGTAACAACGTTACAACTACATTGTTTTACCATGTATATTCTCTACTGTAACAACGTTACAACTACATTGTTTTACCATGTATATTCTCTACTGTAATAACGTAACAACTACATTGTTTTATCGTGTACAGTCTCTACTGTAATAACGTGACAACTACATTTGTTTTTATCGTGTATATTCTCTACTGTAATAACGTAACAACTACATTTGTTTTACCGTGTATATTCTCTACTGTAATAACGTAACATCTACATTGTTTTACCATGTATATTCTCTACTGTAATAACGTAACATCTACATTGTTTTACCATGTATATTCTCTACTGTAATAACGTAACAATTACATTTTGTAAATGGATACCAATTAATTACTTGGTAATATTTGATAAAACTGTTAACCCATGTATAAAATCTCGGCACTATTTATAAAGAAACAGATTATTATGTGACATACGTTATGAAGTCAATAATGAAGTTCTAATCCACTAATAATAAAGTCCGTTTTGAACAGCCTTTTATTATAACGGTATTGAGCTCTATAGAAACGTCAGGTATTAACAAGGGCTTTTTATATTTCATAGTTTCTAGCCTTTGTGTTTTATATACTCTTTGTGAAGCTTTGACATGATCAGGTATAAAGGGGATATTTAAATGGATAATTACTGAATGTATAATTCATGCCTACTTGTTTGTGAGTATCGTATCGATTACCAGGTGTATACGAATTTATAAGCCATTAATCTGCTCACTGTGTGGATAATACCATAAATCAAAGTACAGTCTATAAGCTTATAGCGTCCGTAAGCAGATAGAAGTTAATGTATCGTAAAACTTGAGATAAGCTCTATAGATACATGTTATGTCTGGTCTGATATATACAGTAATTAATGTAACTATATCATCAATTTCCTTAATTATGGTGGTAAGTCAGGTTTCTTTTTTAATTAAATGATCACCATAATGTAATATTTCTAGAACTAATTATTACATTATAAATTTACGTTTTTAATTAACTATTTACTTATTTATTTATTTTATTTTATTTTCTATTTTTTAGGTAACCGTGGATACCATTTACTGCAACTGGAACGATTTTAATACTTTTTTTTCTCCCTAACTTATTCTACATTTGCATCCAACATTATTTTATAAGCTTTTACATTTTTTAAATAGAAATTAAAACAAAAATGACATGTATTCGAGAACAAGCAATAAATTTATTCGACACGAAAAACATTAGAAGAAAGGAAAATGAAGTTATTTATAAAATGAAAAACTACGTGTGGTCTAACATATTTGAAAGAAAAAAATACTACAACAATTACATTTAACTTACCCAAATTCCATCTCTTCCTTGCGAAGGTACACATAACCTGCCTTTAACCATGATTACAGTACTGTTAGATTTATATATAATACTATTGTTGATATCTATTATATATACATTACAATATGTAAAAACTAATAAAGTATGTAAATACGTGATTCGTTATAGACACGTTGTATATAACAATACGTTCGTGACTAATACACTTCAATTTTATATAGATCTAGCATGATTAAAATCCGGGACTAAAACTTCTGTATTGAAATAAAAATAAAGATTGTTGAGAGCTTTCACAATCCAACCCCTCACAACAAAGCATATTTTTGTAGAGACATTTTCAATCTATATTCTGTTATGATATGAAAATGCCCACGGTTGCTATATTATGTCATAATCCCGTTAGTCTCCGCGAACACAATATCCTTTATCTTCTCCTAATTGCTATGCATTATTATTTTTCGGTGGTTGGTTGCTAAGCAAGGTTATACCACCGAATGAGTGTCTAACAGTGACAAGGGAGGTAATTCAATAATTAAGCTAGGGTTTTATTTCGTATAAATGTAATATTGTATACTTGCTACAGTATTCCACCCGATATCTTAATGGCTTCTTCTCATTCAATATAATAATTGATCTCTGAACTTACAATGTGCAAGTCATGTTAGCAATAAAATAAGACAATCAATCATATTTCATGCTTTAAAGGAACACTTGACCATAAATGGTATCAATATCATTTCGGAAGCAGTTTCAAAATTTAAAAACTCATTTTAACTGTGGTGTTTAGATAAGTATATTTTCTTGTCAAAAGAAAACACGTTTTCCAGCGTTTTCTTTGCTTTTGGCGTCATATGATAAAGTAAAGCTTGATGTGTTAATTTTTTTCGTAGTGGATCTGTCTACATTAAAATTTGTAGGTCAATAAATAGTGTCTATAGGTCAAATTCGACAGGTAAAACAGTACACAGACCTGCTTCCGATTTATAAGCAGAAATGAAGATTTAGGTTTTAGAAACTCATTTGCACCCTTTAGTTAAAGGAGCTAAATCTCTAACTCTATATTGCCTATAATATTCGAAATTAGAAACACGAATTGGAATTCAATATTGGTCCATTTCAATCAATATTGCCGTGAAAATATAGGATCCTTATATCCAATATTAAGACACAATGAACATTTTAAAATCAGTACACGAGTAGTAGTGTACTCTATGGTTTCGGGTGCCATTTGTAATGAACAAAGACAAACATATCCTACCACTCGGCAAACCTCAGCAGATTCCAGTACCCTACATCTAGCACTCGGCAAACCTCAGCAGATTCCAGTACCCTACATCTAGCCTCGGCTGTATGACGAAGTCCGCCATTGGAACTACTTTCAAGTTCCCGGATTACCAACGGCGTTGCCCATGACGAAGTCTTTGAAGAATCTTTTATCGTACAAATATTTCAAAGTCTGAAGCTGTTTTTCTTTCAAGTTTATCCGAGTTTCTTCAAACAAGGCAACTTTACACTAAAAATTCTACACATGCTTCGAACGACGCAATTTTGATAACATCTGGCAAGTTTTCCTAATAAGTAAACCGGTGCCGCATCGCAATTGTATATATAGGTACATATCACTTACCGTCATACAGCCGAGGCTAGATGTAGAGTAACGGAATCTGTCGGGTTTTGCCGAGTGATATCCTACAAGACAATGCGGAAGATTTTACTAATGGCCGATTCACAAACGACAAAATAACAATTAGAAAAAGGTGTAGACGTGAAAGACTGCCGTTCAAATAGAACTGATGGACTGTTCGTGTATTTCACCGAACATAATTGATTAGAAATTACAATATATGTTTTTTTTAAAATGAATATAAATCACTTTATATACATTCATATTACATTAATATGTGCTTTTAGGGCCATTTTCGTCTAATTCAAGGTACAAAAGAACAGAGCCATACGCCCTTTAATTAACGAGGTCTAGAACAAAGTCCACAGTAGTTTAAGTAAGTAATTTTAATAAAGGGATGGCTCTGGACAGTATTTACAATTATTATTTCGCTAATTCAAGCGCACAATTGAATGAAAATTAAATCTAACGTTGTGGTAATAATAATAACAACTTCTTTTGCATAAATTAATTAATTTTTTGCCCTATTTTTTCGCCTTTTACCGGTTTCATTTTTTGCCGTACACCGCTTAACTACAGATGGAAAGTAAAATTCCAAGCAGTCCCGTGTAAGGGGGGCTAACACCGTATTACCAGGTTTTATGGTGTCAAACTAGTAATGTAGTTCGTCTTATTATTGGCTATTCTCTCTTTCTCCCTTTACCCGACTTTTGCATGGCATTCTTTCGGACTTTTTTGCCGTTTTTGTTCTATAGATGAAGAGTGTTTTAGTGTAGTGAATAGTTCTGATTTTGATGCGGAATGATTAGAAAGTAAACTGACATGCATTATCGAAATAAGGTTAAAAAAAAAAAATAAAAAAAAAATAACATTATTGACGTCCTATTTCTTTGACCGGATTTAGTAAAAAGTCGACACTTCAATTTTTTTTTATCAGGATTTTGACATGTTGGACACTTTATGGTTATACAGATTAAAATCATAAGAATGCTGAAAGAAATCTTATAGGCTAAGTAATGGCGCCGGATTAACGTTGAAGTTAATGAAGACAAGATTACTAGTCCGAGTCATTTTGCTTTATGTACTGTAAGGTAAACCAGAAAATATTCCCGATTAATTAAACAAACTTCGATTATCACTGGGATATTTCAATTGCCTCACTTGCAAATTATGCAGATTAATCATTTAGTCATGATTTCTAGGCCTTCATCGGTTGGTAAATAAAATAGTTTTTAATTTAGCATGGTTTGACTACACAGTCGGTGATGTGTCGGCATTTAATTTTCTCTTCACCAGGCGCATGAATTTCGGCAGTAACTTGAATTAAAAGAATTTAAATGAGCTACATCCGTATACATTGGTACCTAGAGATTGACACGCATATAATAATGTAATGAATGTATATAAACTGATTTACATTCAATCGTGTCTGTTTTTACTGTAATTTCTAATCAGTTATGTTCGCGAAGAGTCCAAATTTAATGGCAGTCTTTGGCGTCTGGTTACTCCAGTCTATACCGGTAGTTGCCTCCTGTGACGTATGTTTAATCTCGTCCATCGAGTCGCTTCATTACAAATGGCGCTCGAAAGCATTCTGGCCAATTTTAAAAAATTCATTTTGTCTTTAATATTGGATATATGAGGCCCATCTTTTTACGGTAAGATAACAACATCAATGTTGATTTAAATTGACCTATAATTCATGTTTGCAATGTCCAAGACTGGGGATGATATTGAGTTAAAGATACCGTTCCAATGGTTATTATATATACGTCCACATTTCACTATGGGCGAATTATGCGTTACACATGCCCGTGGGTCAGCCCGTCCGGTCGTCAACAAATGGCGTAAAGCATTGTGGCTATGAGGGAACAAATCCTATCAATATTGATTAAAATATTTACAACAGGTCTATGAAAGACAATTACTGACTTGAAACGACAATAGAATCCTTGTAGAAACGTATGTCCGATAAAAATGAAATACTAACGCCCAATCGTATAACATAAACTCTCGATAATACAATATGAAATGAAATGAAATGGGGTTTAACGTCCTACTGTTCTGCTCCTAAACTGGTCTAATGAAGACGGGCATACGCCATACAGTGTGCTATGAGGGAAATTTTGCCCGGGCAGCGGCACTACGGCCTACTCTTATATTGAATTCCAACTGCCAAGGGATCTTTTACGTGCACGCCAATATGTACATGGGGCCTCGGTTTTTCGATCCATCCGAACGACTAAACAGCTGCCCTTGTCAGGCCCTCCGTCCTGCATCACTGACAAGGGGAAACCACGCCGGAAAATCTGGATAAACTTTCTCGGCCAATGCAGGGATCGAACACCCAACCTCCAGGCTGGCGAGCCAGCGTCTTACCCACTTAGCCACGTGATCTCCACTCTCGATAATACAAAATAATTATATCAATAAAATAAAAACTCGTAAAAAATATCAAATTATTTTAGAATCTTATATTACATTAAAGAATATATAAAATATAGTTAAAATGAAATAAAATGAAATCGGGTTTTAACGTCCCGAACGCCACGCTACGACCCACTCCAACTGCCAAGGGTTCTTTTACGTGTACACCAATGCCATAATGTGGAAAAATGGAACAGATTTATTGATTGGCTGTTTGTGCGAGGCTAGTTAGATCCATTATTCACGAGTTACCCTTTTTTGCTGTGATCAGTGACAGACGCAGAAGATTTGTTATTGTTTACTTCAGTAAGTTGATATATAGGCACAGATCGATATACAATCAATACAAAGCTTAATGGACTTAACTGTTAATTTGTATACAATCTAGCCAAAAAGTGAAAAGCCATATTATTTATAGAACGGGTGTGTGTAATTATAGACATCATACAGATTGTTTTGAATAATGTCAAGTACATATATATTATAGACCATACGAAAAGGTTATAGCCGGTCAGAGGTTGTCCTGGGGTGAACCTTTCATTTGGTTTATCTATTCTCAATCTTTAACCTTGAAGTAATGCGGTGTGCCATGTGGTATGTTATAAGTAATAAAATATACGTAGATATAGATATATTGTAATTGCCGTATGTTTTCATTTTAATCGAAGTAAAACAAACAAAATGGGAACCAGAAATCCTGGGTATTCATCTCCCAAGACAATCGAATGAATATTTATTTTCTCGCCGGTGTGTTAAAGGGACTATCCCTGAGGGACTATCCCGATTTCAAGAGAGTCTCCCAAAAAAAAGTCGGAGTACGTATAAAATTTAATATAGAGGAATGGTGTATTTACCTTCTCTCAAAATTCCAGCTCAAAATATTGAGTCGTTTGGATGTGAACGTCAAAACTGCTTATCCGGGCATGTAACCCTTTTAAGATTTCGGGTCAGTTTTTTTCGTTGGGTGACCTGATAATCGATTCTCGTTCCTTGAGAGGTCTATATAGTGAATGAAAGGTCAATTTCACCTACACATTATTTTTTATAAAATAAAAGTCTGGTTTTATCCAGACACCGCATAATACAGCTTGGGACACCGGTCTCCATTTCCAGATGAAGACTGACGGGTTTAAGTTGTTTGAAAACATATCACAAATATTGAGTTAATTGCTCGGCCCTTAGCTTGAGGATTTTAAGAGATTTTAGCACAAAATTAAGCAGTTTTATTTTCCCAAAATTATCGGGATTAGCCCTTTAAACTTCGAAGCCGCTGTATCTAGTTCTGGGTAATTTAAAAGATCTAAACTCTTTAATATTTTCCATAAAATTAGAAATTAAAAACACGGATTAAAATCAATTTTGGTCCAATTCAATCAATATTGAGGCATAATGAACATTTGGAAATCAGTGCATGAGTCGTGTATTTC